TGCTCTTCAACCTATCTGAATTTCCTATTTGACTTCTTCTCATACTCTTAACTTTTTGAAATGTGCTATGTGGTACATTAAAAAAAGCCTTTTTTTTTTTTTTTGGTCCCAGGCTTATAATTTCATTGGTATGAAGGAATTACTAGCGTGGAAACTCCCTCCATTGATGCAAATCAACACCCCCTCTGTAACTTAGTTTTAGAAGGTTTCCTAGGGCACAGCAGTAAAGCTACCTGCCCATGATCACACAGCCGATATATGGAAGATTCAGGATGATTTGAAACTAAGTTTTTTTGACTCTTAAGACAGTCTTTCATTCCATAGACCATGCTGCCCCCTACATGGTTTAAGAAGTAAATTAAAATTGCTTTTATAATTCTGGCACCTGTATTTTCTTAGTTTCCTAGACTAAAGAGGTAGGAGTTGTTTAACTCCTACCTCCTTTGTCCCTGGCACTCAACCAGTCAGAGTGTTCTTTTAAAAAAAAAAAATTCAAATTTAAACACCAAATAAAATTAATATTTCCATACACAAAGCAGTACAGAAAAAGATTATATGTGAAACTGTGAATCTCCATTATACACAGACTGCATGTAATAAATTCAACATATAATTTTCTGCTTGTTCTTCTGCCCTTTCTTCTGATCCTTAAAAAATACTTCAATGATCCTCTTTTCTTTCTTTTTTTTTGGGGGGGGGCAGGAACTCTGTTGTTACCTGACCTTTCTTTCCCACCCCTTCTTCAAAGCTGGGGGTGGCGGGGAGAGAAGAAAAAAACAAAACCTTTGCAACAAATAAGCATAGTTAGAAAAGCAAATTCCCACATTGGCCCTCACCAAAAACATATGTCCTCTTGAGTCCATCACCTCTCTGCCAGAAGGTAGATAGCATTCTTCATCATTGGTCTTTTGGAATTGTGGTTGGGCCTTGCATTGATCAGAGATCTAAAGTCTTTCCAAGTTGTCTTTCTTTACAAAAAGAAATTGTATAAATTGTTGTCCTGGTTCTTCTCATTTCACTCTGGATCAATTCATGTAAATCTTCCCAGGTTTCTCTGAAACTGTCCCAGATGGTATTCATAACTCTTCTTTCACAGTTCTTTGGTTTCTTTCTTTTATTCTCAATGCCACTCATTCTTCCAGTAGCTTTTTTTTTTTAAAGGCAATTGGGGTTAAGTGACTTGCCCAAGGTCACATAGCTAGTAAGTGGCAAGTGTTTGGTCTGAGGCTGGATTTAAATTCAGGGCTGGTGTTCTATTCACTGCACCACCTAGCTGCCCCACTATGCCACTCATTCTTTTGTCACCTCATGCTTCAAGTATAATTGCCTTTGCCTCTCTCTTTGTTTCTCCTTCTCCTTCTAGGAAATCCTAAAGGAATCTTTATAAAATATGCTTTTCCATGTCATTTCTCTACTACAAAACCTACCGATGTTTTCCTGATGCCTATCATGTTTCATATAAGATCCTTAAAGTGAGAATTCAAGGCTTTACATTAATTGGTCTCATCTAACAAATCCAACTTTAATTTTCATAACTCCCCAACATGAATTCTCCTTGTTAGCTATTTTTCTTCTCAAGTAAAATACACACATTTTTAGGGCAGTGACCTGTTTTTATCTTTACATTCTCCATGCCTAGATGTCACCCTGCACTTAGTACATGCTTAATAAATGCTTTGTGGACTGGATGGTGCCTCATTCACTTACTCCTGCCTTTATACCTTCACTCATACTTCTCCCTTCTGGCTCAAATATTCTTTCTTTTCCTTACCAACAATAAGGATCCTATGCTTCCTTCAAAACCCCCTTGAGATCCACTTCCTCCATGAAACTTTCCCTGACCAGTCCAGCTCACATTATTATAGATTATGCTTCCTTATCAGAACTCCTATAGGACTTCTAGTCTCTACTACCAAAATTTAACATTTCATAATTTACATCTAGTACTGTTCACTACATATTTCATAAATGTCTTTTTTCTCCAACAAGATTGTAAATTACTCTGGGAAGAACTATACAATGATCACATATAGTATGGTAAAGAAAACAACTGTGAAAGATAAGAACTATGATCAATGCAATGATCAATTATGACTCTACAAGACTGGTAATGAATCATGCCTTCCATCCCTTGGCAAGATCAGCGAAAGATTACAAGGTGCAGAATGAGAAAGACATTTTCAGACACTGCTAAACAGACACTAAAAAGGAAGAAAATAAAGAACAGAGTCAGTGGCTCATTAAAAAAAATAAACAGAGGGTAGCAGAAGGAAACTTAGAATAGGTCATAGACAAGAATAGCAGCACTGAAACTACTATGTTGAATCTGAATTAACCAATAAAAAAACTCAAGCTGTATGAAGTAGAAAAAAAACCAAACTCTGTAACACAGTTTACGGTTCTTATATGATCCTCTTTTTGTTTCTCTTTGTATATTGAAATGTTCATACTATTGATGTTTATTAAGTTCCTAATAGAAAGAAAATGAAAAACTTTAAAAAAGAAGATAAATTACTTAATGACAGAGACCTTGACTTATACTTCTCTGTCTCCTAGTCAGATAGCAGGATAGTGAATAAATATCTACTGACTTGGCTGAAAGTCCCTCACTTTTGTACTCTTATTCATTTTATTTACTGTTTATTTTATTAAATTATCATTTTATATTTATTTATGTTTACTCTATTTTATTTAATTTGTTTATTGTACCTTGTTTATTCATTATTGTTCCTTTCATGTCAAATATTCATGATGCTGAAGGGACCAAGCTGTTAGAAGTGGGGGAAATGGGAAAATACATTGTATAATACAGCAACAATAACATAATGTTTTTAGTGACCTTGCACTTTTTGGTTCCATTTACACCCTCAAAGTAAGTGACCAGTTCTCTTTCTCACACCTTCCCTGTACTAACAACATGGCTGTGTTCCTTTCAGCTTGGTTCTCTCTGGCTCTTTTCTCATCTGTCTACTCTTTACACAGTACAGGACTTAGAGAGCAGAGGAGTGCAACAGTCATAATCATGTAAGGGGGCATGGGGTCTGAGCTGATTCTCCTGGGTATAGGTTAAGTTGAATGCTCTGTGTGTGTGTGTGTGTGTGTATTGTATTCATATGTGTGTGTGTTATGTGTATGTGGGATATGTGTGTGCGGTATGTGAGAAAACACCTAGGTACTGTGTGAACAGATCAGTCTTCAAGGTAACTGAGCACAGAGTTCAGGCAACCATAATAATTCTAAAGTTCTACAAAAAGAACTGAACACAATAATGTGATATGGAGAGGCTAGAAAACATAGGCCCCTAAGAGGAGTGGGTATTTAACGTTACTAGGCATGCAACAGAGAGTTCTTTTTTTTTTTTGTGAGGCACTTGGGGGTTATGTGACTTGCCCAAGGTCATACAGCTAGTAAGTGTTACGTATATAAGGCAGGATTTGCACTCAGGTCCTCCTGATTCCAGGGCTGGTGCTCTATCCACTGTGCCACCTAGCTGCTCTGCAACAGAGTGTTCTTGAATTTGACTGGAGAAATATGAGAGCCCCCAAAGAAAAGTAAAGATAAGAGAAAACAGAACCTCTGACCCTCAGATCCTGAGGGTGATAAACTTGCACATAGCATTCCAAAACACAGACAGAAAAGGCTTAAAAACCCTGGCTGCTATACAATATTTGATTAATAATATACTTATATCTGAAGATATAGGTAGATATGTATATGTGCACACAGGGGGTATACATGTTATATATTACACATAACACATATGCATGTGAGCAAGTATACACATACAATGTTAATATTACATATACTGCATATGATACATGCATACACGAATGGATAGACACATTTTGTATATTATATTTAACACATAATTGTGTATCAGTGGAAAGATATATTAATATTACATATCATATGTCATCTTGCATATGCAAGTAGATATATGTTATACATTACATATAACATATATGATATGTATGTATGCACTAGTGATGATACACATTATAAATAATATACAAATAACCCCCCATTTGGGGCAGCTAGGTGGCGAAGTAGATAGAGCTCCAGGCCTCTATGAGTCAAAAGAGTTCAAATTTGGCCTCAGACACTTACTAGCTTTGTGACCCTGGGCAAGTCACTTAACCTTGTTTGCCTAGTTTCCTCATCTGTAAAATGAACTGGAGAAGGCAATGGCAAACCACTCCAGTGTCTCTGCCAAGAAAACCCCAAATGGGGTCAGGAAGAGTTGGACACAACTGAAAAATGACTGAACAACAACAAAATGTGTTTATCCATTGATATGTAACATACACATGATGTGTATATGTAAGCACAAGTGGATATATACATTATATGAATATTGTATATAATGTGTGTAGGCATACACAATGGATATAGACATTCTATATATTACATTTAACATATATAATGTATGTATATGTACATGAGTGGAAAGATAAGTGAACATTGAATACATAATGTACCTATGCATACAGAAGTGGATAGACAAATTATATATAATATATAAATAATGTCTGCCCACTTATATATTATATATAATATACAAATAATGTGTTTATGCACGTACGAGTGGATATACACATTTTACACACACACACACACACACACACAGTCCCTTGAGAGCAGGAATTGTTTTATTTTATTTTTGTATCCCATCACCTAGCACGGTGCCTGGGCACATAGTCAGAGCTGAATAAATGCTTGGTGAATGATGGGACACTTAGGAATTGGACATGCCTTCACACCAAACCAGATGATGACCTTGAGAGTGTTCAGTGAATGCACAGCTGCCTTGTGGCACATACCAATTTCAGTCTCTCAAGTAATGAAGGCCCAAGCAAAACTACAAATATTAAAAACCATCTTTCAGATTTTCTTACTAAAGAACCAGGACACAGTGAAGCAACGGATGCCTATATAAAACCTCATTCCTGCATTTGATTCCATGAAAATCACCCATAGAGTTCCTCATTAAAGCCTCTTACCCAAGAAGACCAAAGTCTCATAATTGGACTTCATTATGTTCTTATAAAGGTCTTTCTGCCAATCCTCCAGGTTTCTCCACTCTTGCTCTGAGAAATACATGGCCACATCATCAAATGTCACAGGTATCTGGAACCACAAACATGAAACATACATCACTTTTACTTGTCATCACTAATTCGGATAAAACTCTTCCAATCCCATTCATTTCACATAGCCTGCTACAAACTGATTCCCACAAGGTCTATTGTCAGCATTTTTAAGGGGATCACATAGCACTCCAAGAGATGTGCGTCATCCAAGAAAGCAGGGCCTCTTTTCCTAGTCAAATCTGACACTTGGTGGCAAATTCTCAAGCAAAGCAGATCTTCACTAGGTAAAAAGTCATGGAAAACCTGATAATCAAAGCCTGGGTTATTCAGAATCCTGGGAGAGACGCATTTTACTACAATACTCTGAGCCTCTGCCCTGAGAAAGTACAGAGAATGTATAATGGGAAAATCATCGGGTCCTCTAACACTTGCCTAGCTCAGCAATTTCAGTTAAAGTTTCTTAACCTAGCTGTCTCATCTGCAAAATGGTGAAAATAAAACCTAACATTTCTACCTCGGCGGGGATTGCGGGGCGGAGGGCTTTGGCCACATTCTCGAGTTGAAAGGCCAGCCCAAGTCCGTCCCCGGGCCCAGAGTCCCACGGCCCTCGGGGCTGGGGCTGAGTCCTCGCCGAGTCCAGGGGCCCCGGCAGCGGCGAGGCCGGCCCCGCACCGCCTCCTCCTCGGCAGGGAGCGAGCGCTTCAGCCTCCGCATCTCCGCCCCGAGCCCCCAGCGCTGAGCGCGGGGCAAGAGCGCCCGAGGCGCCGGAGCCTGACACCGAGCGGGCGCGGCGGGATTGGGCACGAGGGCTCAGCGTCTCCGAACCTGATGCGGGGGCAGGAGTCACTGTACCGCACCTACGGATAACCAATGTGGCAAACTTCAAACCGCACGGCCGATGACTTCTCATTGACGCGACTCTCGCCCCAGCCCACCTGCCCCGCCTCTGGGAGTCCTGGGCCTTACCCGAGCAGGCGCCCCCGGGGCCATGGCCTCCTAGTCTCCTCCGGCCGCGAGCTCCGAGCACACAGATTGGTAACGCTGTTTGGTGGGACCCGAGGTCGGGACCACGACCTGCATCCGGGGACCGCGCCCCGCCGGCCTCACGGAGGGCCCGCCCCTTCTCCCCGCGCTCCGCCCCCACAGCGCCGCCTGCGGGTGGGAGGGGGAACGCCTCTCCTTGTCCCGCCCCTCCTACCCTGGTTTCTCTCGGTCCCTCCCAGCCCCTCCTGCCTACGGTTCTCTCCGTCCCACCTCTCCCTTCCAGCCCTGACTTCCCTCGGCCCCGTCCCATCCCGCCCCTCCTGCCTGCGCCCCTCCTGCCCGGGCTTCTCTCGGCCCCGCCCCTCCAGCCCCGGCTTCTCTCGGCCCCGCCCCTCCTGCCCGGGCTTCTCTCGGCCCCGCCCCTCGTGCCCAGGCTTCTCAGTCTCCGCTCCCGCTGTCACCTCCCTCTCTCCTGCGGGAGGAGTAGGCGGTCCCCGTCCTCCCAGGGGGACGGAGGCGGCTCTCTCCCAGACTCCCGGGCCGCGGTGACCGCGACTTTCCGGTTTTCTCCCAGCCTCCTGCGGTCCTCTCCCCGTCCCTCGGATCCTTTCCTTGCAGTCCTGACCCACTGCTGGCCGGGGCAAGCACGGTTTAATTCGGTAGAAAACATTTACTAAGCGCCTGTGTTGGAAGCCTACGTTACTCCGCCGCTCTGGTGGTGCTTCAAGTACACTTGTAACTGATCTGACCGAACGCAGCAGAATCCCCCACACATACCTGTGCTAGGACCGTGGAGACAATGCTTTGAATGGTGGGGCAGAGGCGGGAAGAGGAGATTGCTCTTAATAAGGAGTGGGCTGTCAGTGAGGGTAAACTGCCCTTAAGAAGTACGGCGGGGGCGGCGGCTAGGCGCAGTAGATAGAACTGCGGCCTTGGAGTCAGAAGGACTTGAAATCAAATGCGGCCGCAGACACTTGACACTTACTATCTGTGTGTCCCTGGGCAAGTCACTTAACCCCAATTGCGTCACCAAAAAACAAAACAAAACAAAAAACCCCCACGAAGTAGGGCAGTGAAGGAAAGGAATAAATGAGGCTCCTTGAATGGGTCACATAGATTGTGGACTAAATATAAATAAGGAGAGAGTAAATAGATATTTTGAGGTGGAAAGTGACGTAGAAGGCAGTAGGTGGGGTTGTGAAGGAGCGCAATCGGATCTCTGTACAGTACAAAACAAGTTCAGGTGCCTTCTCCAGCTGGGTTAGCCCAGATGTGCTTCATCCCGGAGCCACCATCCACCATGACTTGCCATCGTGGGCATCTTGCTCTCTGCTCCACCATTACACCAGTGCCTCTCCCACCCCTGCTTTTCACTTCCATGCGCAGGACCCAAAATCCAACCAACCCTCCTGGGAATGGTGCGCCAATCCGCAACTCTGGCTCCACTCACAATTCCTGACTGCCATACCAAAGCTTCCTTCCTTGGCCATCCCTCTGGAGGAGTGCTGTATAAGCTCCCTGAGGGCTGGGCTGCCTCAGGTTTTTGTCTCCCCACTGCCAAGCACAGTTCCTGACACATAACAGGCACTTAATAAATAAATGTTTGCTGATTGATGAACATATACTGGGGCTTGAAGAGCACCTGGAAGAAACAACTGCTACAAGAAATAAAATAGAAAGCCACTACCTGGCATAAATTAAAGTTAGTTAGAATACAATTGGAAGATACCATGAATTTGTCCTGGGATCAGCGACAGGGTTTTAGAACTTTCTACAGAGATACTCGTCCCAGCAGCAGGAAGGGACAAAGGGACAAAATGGACTGTGAAAGTGATGGGCAGCTGAGGACTGTTAAAGAGACCTGGGAGTGTGCAGGAAGACAGGTCATAGCACACTGGCCATGAGGACAACGAGGAGTCACTGAAGTATTCCTAAGAGGGGAATGATGTGACAAAATGGTGCTTGAGAAAAAAATGAATAATGCAGCTCCATTCTGAAGGGCTAGCCTAGGTAGAGATTTAAGGCAGAGGGAGATCAGAGCTGGCAGATATCCACTATTTTGGGCTGTGATGTGCACTAAGTTTTTTGAAGGGCCTGGCTCCATAAATATTAGCAGAATGAATTGTGAATAAAATGCTCATTTCATTTTCACAAGATTTCCAATGTTTGATTGATCCTGACCACAAACTTGTGAGGTAGGTCTGCAGGTATTATTTGCATCGTAGGGGAGCAAATTAAAGTTCTGAGGTTAAATGCCTTTCCTGTGGTTACGGAGCTAACAAGGTAAAATAAGTGATTCAAACTCATGCCTCTCCAACTTCAAATCCAGTCTTTTTCTACAGCATCATGTCCCTCCCCCCCCCTGCAAAAACTAGTTTCCTCAATATTACCCTTGGGGAAATTTTTGTGCTTTTTTCCCAGCCACATTGGTGGACTTTCCCAGCCCATTTTTCGCCTGAAATGTCTCCTCTCTTTCTTTTCAATGCAGCTCAGAGTACTCCAGTACTTCCCAGACAAATATCACCCAGCTCTACCTCTGCACTGTTTATGTCCATGGTAATGGCTGAAGGGGGTTTAGCTGTATTCACTTGTGATTAGGTTTCTTTATCTACCTCTGGCTGGGAAAGCAGGACTAGCTCCTATTTCCGTTGTTTCCTTGCTCAGTGTAGTAGGGAGTTTTTCTCAAGTTGAGGAGATTTTGTGTAGGTGATACAGAGCTCGTTGACTTGTCATACAAACCAATCAGCTCAAACTCAGAGATGTTTTATTTACTGTTGTGTCATTAACAAACTACAGCAAAAAATAAAAACAAAAACCACCTCAGCAACCAATGCCTCAAATACAATTGTATTCATTCAAGACTACATTCTACAAGGGCCACAAAGGGCCCATGTGACCATCAGCCTTCTCTGTTTGGGTCTGAGGTGGGCAGGAGGAGGACACCTGTCCTGTCACACTATTCTGTGCTCAGGGTTCTCTCTTGAGCTTTCAAGGGGAACTTCTTTGGTTTTTAGGGAGTGCTGAGTGAGAAGGGATTTGCCAATACAAGGGTACTGTGACATGAAGAGGTGATAACTTCTTCAGAGCTAGCTTATGAGGCACATGAGAACACCAGTCTCATTCTCAGTTATGCAGCTATTCTCAGTTACATAAGTTTGTTTTTGAACAACAACAAAAAAACCAGCATCACAGTTTGATCACCAGCTTTATCGGCCAGACTTCACTGAATAGTTGAAAAGCTGCCTTACTAACAAGGTACTTAACTTCTGCTTGGCTCCAGAGAGAACTGTGAAAAACTCATGGAAGTCATGGGGAGCCTGATTCTAAGGCAATCTAAGTAAGAACTTCCCAGCCATCAGAGCTATCCCAGACGGACTATGGCCTGCCTCATGAGGTAGTAAGTTTCCTGTTACTAGAGGTATTCCAGCAGAGGTCTAAAGACCACTGGTCAAAGATGTTGTAGAGAGCTTGGATTAGATATTATCTGAAGTCCCTTCCCACTGTAACTCTTTGACTTGACTTGGGTATTTGATATCCACCCCTTGTATGCTAGAGGTTTTCTTTTAACTCCAATCAAGGTCCATCAGTCCACACAGTAGGCCCTTGTAGTGCTGTTTCTTGGTGTGCACCTTCACGTGGGCTGTGAGCTTAGACTGCTTGGGAAATGCCTTATTGCACTCGCTGCAGCAGAATGATCTGGCTTTGCTGTGTATTCGCAAGTGACCCTTCATGTCTGCTTTCAGGCGAAAGGTCTTGCCACACTCTGGGCACTCGAAGGGCCTCTCCCCCGTGTGCAATCTGATGTGCTCAGTGAGATGACAATGTTTGGTGAAGCCCTTACCGCATTCACTGCAGGAGAAAGGCCTTTCCCCGCTGTGCCGGCGCTGGTGGGCCTTCATGTCAGCTTTCACTCGGAAGCTCTTGTCACACTCCGGGCACTGAAAGGGCCTTTCCCCTGTGTGCAGGGGCAAGTGCCTGAGCAGATGGCCCTTCTGGTGGAAGCTCTTGTCACACTCTGGGCACTGGAAGGGCCTCTCCCCCGTGTGCAGGCGCTGGTGCCTGAGCAGTCGGTCCTTCCGGCCATAGTTTTTGTTGCACTCAGTACAGAAGAATGGCTTCTTCTCTCTGTGTACCCTGATGTGATTGGCTAGCTGAGACTTGTGGGTGAAGCCCTTGTTACACTCAGTACAGCGGAATGGTAACAGCCAAGATGAGCTCTGGTTTTGAAGGTTTTCCTGCTCTTTCGAACTTGAAGATCTAGAATTCCCTGGAATTAAAAACAAAAAATTCTGTTAATATTCATGGCTGTGCCACGTCAAAGCTAAGGGACTTACTACATTATTAACATGTATTTTATATGCACGCACACACACACACACTCTCTCTCTCCCAATTTCAAGGGGTTATTGTGTCAGTCAAAGGTAGATCACACAATCCTTTGTAACTTATAAAGCACTATATAAATGTAAGGCATTACTATTTTTGGAAGCAAATTAACTTCTCCACATCTTTAGCAAAGTTAGACACTGACTGAGCTGTCCTAAAAATCCAAAATTTCATTGCCAGAGATGCTCTTGCTTTGCCCCTAAATTGATTTTTTCATTTCATTATCAAGACCAAGTACAAACAGACTGCTCAGACCCTTTTCTCTACTCTTGATCCCTCATTACATGTGACAAAGTTAAAGATCTGAATCCACCTGTCTACTAACATCAAGCCCTGAGTCCACAGATTTCTCTCTTGAAGGCAGTCAGTCACATGAATTAAAATACTCCGGAAGGCTTGAGTATACTGTGGCTACATCTTCCCCAGTCTCCAATGAGACTCATGGAGGTTAGACAGGGAGACTCAGGGACAGTGTTAATCTCAAAAATTCTACCACAAAGTTCAAGGAGAGTTTACAGGAAGATCTTCCTCCAGAAGATTGGTGGGTCTCCAGGTCTTTATTATATAAACCTCATGTGATTCTTACAGCAATTCTGTGAGGTAATGCTTTATATGTTGTGCAAGTATTGCCATCTCTGTTTCACAGAAGAGGAAATTACAGCTCAGAGAGATTCAATAGATTGTGGTCATTGGTACAGGTGGGAGTATAACTCAAGTTATACTGAATGCAGTGAGCTCCTTCCACGATACCATGTTGCTTCTCTTATGGACCTTGAAAAAAAAAGGATCAGGAAGAATCACCTTGTTACATTCTACTTCTTTTGCAAATTCAAAGCTGACAATTCAATTTTGCTCCTGAGCCAAAGTCTGTTGAAAATATTTTTTTCTCCAGATTCCTACTGATCTGGAACAAATATTTCTAGCAGAACATTATGGCTACTGACAGAGGTGGATCTACCCTTTGGGGAAGGAAATTAGATGCTTAAGGATTTTGTCTCTTGTGAGGAATAAAGGCGTAGGCCTTCCCCCCTTCCATTTTTATCACATATATGTCATTTATTAAAAGCAGAGTCAAAATTCCACTGACAGTTGAACAGAACTATATGTCTTTTCCTTCCTGCCTTGTGGAGCTAACTAGGAACTCGATGCTTCCTCACCCTGGAGCAGAGTCTTCTGTTTTAGTGATCTAGTTCCTGGTTTATTTAGCCACTGGAAGGCAACAGCAAAAAAGAAGCAAGACATCTTCTACCATGACAAATTTCTTTTTCAGAAGTTAAATTTCAGGTTTCTGAAACAAGAAAAACAGGACAGAGCTCCTGTCGGTATATGACACACATGACAGTGAAGTTGTTTCAGGCCTGGAGTGCTGACCAGCCAATCTCTTCACCTGCTCTCTTGAAGACCAGTCCTGCCCTGACATCAAACCCCAGCTCAGATGGACACGAAAGGACGATTTAAGTCCCAGAAAGAGGAGAATCAGAATGTGTCCTCCTCAGTTTCACTGCTTTCACTTTTTCTCACTCACCAGGAAACAGCTGCCCCTGTGTGCTCTTCATGTCAGGATGCTCATCAGCCCTGGAACCAATGGCCAGTCCTCTTGTGTGCAAGTGTCCCCCATCTCTGATGAATGGCTCTTCCCCTTGCTCAATCTGTGTTATCAAGTCTGGTTTGGGAATGGCATAGCCTGGGCAAAGGCCACAAAACAGCAATTAAGTTTATTTTTCTTATGATCCCTAGAACCACAAGTTTTGGGAACACGTATAACAAATGAGGACTTTATGGTGCTATAAAGCAGAATGACTGACTGTACCCTGGCATTAGGTTCTTAGAGTGATGCCCAACCTATCTAAGCTGTGATTGAGTTAACTTCTTTACATTTCTCTCTCTCTTTTTTTAGGCATTTGGGGTTAAGTGACTTGACCAGGGTCACACAGCTAGTTAAGTGTCAAGTGTTTGGTCTGAGGCCGGTTTTGAACTCAGGTCCTCCTGACTTCAGGGCCAGTGCTCTATCCACTGCGCCACCTAGCTGTCCCTTCACATCTCTTAAAGTACAGCACTGTACGTGGTAATTAAATTATAATTATTTTTTATTTTTTAAGTTCCTTGATAGCCACTTGAGGCGACTCAACATGTGGAGACTGTCATAAAAACACTCTTTGAATGACGGTGCCTTGAAAACAACCGGCCAAATGTTTCCTCCTGCTCTTGGTGATAAATTTCCATCACCGTCTGGCTCAAATGGACGGACTGTCCTGCTCAGAGTCGAGGATCTGCCCCACATCAAGTCATATTTATATGTTTTAAAGTCTACAAAAACCTCATGAGGCAGATAGACCAAGTGGCTATTATTCCCATTTTAAACACAAAGAAACTGAAATGCAAAGAGATAAAGTTACTTGCTTGTGGTCATTTTAAGTATAGGGGCTGAGACATGCAACACAGATCTGCTAACCCCAGCCCCTACCCTTTTCAGTCAGTCAGTTAATAAATACCGAGTATGTGTGAGGCACTGTGCTAAGCACTGACGATACAAAAGAAAGGCAAAAGACAGACCTGCCCTCGAGTAGCTCATAGCTTAATTGGGGAGACAACATACAAACAACTGTGTACAAACAAGATATACACAGGACAAATCAGGGATAATCAACTGAGGGAAGGCACTGGCATTAAGGGAGATCAGGAAAGGTTCCCTGTAGACGGTGGGATTTTAGGTGAGACTTGAAGGAAGCCCGAGAAGTCAGAAGGCAGAGATGAGGAGGAAAAGCATTCCTGGCATGGGGAACAGGCAGTGAAAATGCCTATTTTTAGTCAGGAGATGGAGTATGTTGGCCAAGAAAGAATAAGGAGGCCAATGTTACTGGACCACAGAGTATGTAGGAGTGAGTAAGGTATAAGCAGACTGGAAAGGCTGGGTTATAACGGACTTTAAATATTAAGCTGTGGATTTCTACTATACTGGGCTGTCTTCAAGCCTGTCCAAGCCACCCTTCTTAAGTTTCAAATGAAGTAGGATGGTGTTGTATAGGGGAAATTTGATGGCAGAGTTTGCTGCGGTCTAGGTTTTCATTTTGACTCCTTCAAACCTAGCTTTCATTCTGACCACTCTGCTGAAACTGGTCCCGTGAAGGTCACTGGCTAAAATGATCAGCCACTACTCATTTCACCTTCTCTTTGGGCTCTTTGAAGACTTTGGCAAACAAACCTTTCTTTTGAAAATTCCTTGACCAGCCTCCTCTAGGAAGCATTTCCAACCTATTCCAACCCACAGGAATTTTCCCCTCTTCTGGACACTGCAGCCTTACGGCTGGTAGTGTCAGCTTCACTTCATGACAACCCTTGCATCCTTGAATTTATCTCTTGCACTGTAATTCAGAAGAAAGTGTGGCAGACTGGGCAGAGTGCTAGGTAGAGAAGTCCCAAGAGTTAGAACCTGTTGCTGACACTTTATGGGGAGCCAAGAGCAAGCTAAACTCTCTGAGCTCCACATAACACCCCCAGAATGGACGTTCTGGTACCAGAGGGAAGGGGGGTGGGCAGAAGGCTGGATCTGGAGGTGTAAGTGACACTAGCTGTGGGAACCTGGGCAATTTTCTAAAGTTTATCTACTAAATCAAGCTATGCATTTCCCCATGTGCACACATTCTCAGCTCTTTACTATTTATATTTATATCCTCTGCTTACGTTTTAGGTTTCTTCAAAGAGACCACTAGTTCCTGAAGAGTTAGCAGGTTGTGTGTTTTATCCTGAGAAGCAGAGTGGCCTACAGCAGTGGTGTTGAAACGCAAATAGAAACAGATCCCAGCTGGCAGAACACTGACTTAGAAAACCTTAAATTAACATTATCTATGTTGTGTTGTATTTTTATTTTGTTAAACGTTTCCCAATTACATTTTAATCTGGTTCCCCAGTGGCAGTGTGTTTGATACCTCTTGATAAAAGATAGAGAAAACTAGATCTGGAGTCTGGAAGATCTGGGTTCAGGTTTTCTCTCTCTTTTTCTCCCTTCCCATGTCTAACTACATACATACACATGTGCACACATATACATATATGTACATATATAAATTTCTATATATTTCTATATATTGAATGTAGTACTCTTCACACAGTAGGGCTATATTTGTCAGTCACAGAAGGTTAATTTTCCTTTATGGCACATAGTAAAGCAGGAAGCCTGTGTAAAATTCTGGTTGCTGTTTTGGACAAAAAGGGTCCTAAAATTTAGAAGATATAAAGCTGTTAAAAGGAAAAAGTGAGGAGATGCACTTCAGGATGGAAAACTTGAGTTGTCATTTGTTTTGTGGGTATTCATGAGACATTTACAGAACTGCAAAGGAGACGATGGCTCTCAATGAGAAAAGTGGCCTGAGATTGCACTTCTGAGAGAGAGCGCCATGAGCCAAGCAAAAGACACAGACACCACCAACAATACAGGAAAATGCTGCAGGGCGGATATTTTACTTGATAGGACAGAGCCAGCATGGTGACAAGTTAGACCAGCATGACAGCCTGAGCATGTACAGTAACCAACACCTTTAATTTCTAGGCGAGCTTTGATGGCAGTTATATGTTACAGTTTCATTTCTGTCTTTGCATTCCTAACACCTACCACCTTAACACATGTAATGAATTGAACTGAACTGAATAATTACCTGTCTATATGCATTAAGCTCTATGCACTCAACCTAGATGAACTTTTGAGGTCTCTTCCAGTATCTTATTCTATAAGACACCCTCAAAATTCCTCATGAAAACATCTTACCCAGTGAGACCAAGGTCTCATAATTGGTTTTCACTACATCTTTGTAAAGCTCCTTCTGCCACTCCTCCAAGGTCCTCCACTCTTCCTCCGTGAAATACATGGTCACATCATAAAATGTCACAGGTACCTGGAACCACAAGCATAAAACATATTTACCTTCACTCTTCATCACTAATTCAGAAACAGCTTTTTCTTAAATTCCATTTTTATATCTTTCATTTTTCTGTTGCTATCATTTCTGAAAATAGTCCCTCTTTCTCCAATTCAGTAAACCATCCCTTGTAACAAACAAAACCAACCAACATATGAAGAAATGAAAAAGCATTTATTAAGTGCTTATGATATGCCAGGTACGGTGCTAAGCACTTGGGACAAAAATGCAAAAAAGCACTTACTTTCCCCTGGGGGAGGACAGCATATAGGGGTGGACAGGGAGGGGTGTTTTGGTACAGAAAAATCACAAGGATGGTGAGTCATAGGGTAATTGATTGATATAGCTCCAATCAAGACTGCAGGACTCCAAGGTGGTGTCAGGTCCAAGGCAAGAGGGCAGTGTAACAGGAAAATGGCAATGGTATCTGACATGACACCCATAGTCTCCCGCTTTTGAAAAGTGGGGAGATGGGTGGATCTTCCCAGATTTTCTTTGGGGTCACTATAATTTAGTTTCTTTTCTATTCTTTCCATTTAAGTTGTTATCATTGTGTATACTATTTTCATGGTTCTGCTTACTTCACTGCATCACTTCAGAAACCTGCTTTCAATTTCATTCCTTTCACATATGGTGGATGTTACAAACTGATTTCCACAAAATGTATTTTTATCATTTTAAAGTTTACTTTGATTGCAGCCCACAAGAAGGCTTGGGTGTAAATACATCTTCCAAGAAAACAAGGGCTCTTTTTTCAAGTGCAATAATAATGCTGGTGGCAGATGCTCAAATAAAGTAATTTACATTGTGAAAAAACCTGAGACAAATTATCCCAGAGAAACAAAATTTCTCAGGGATATCCTGAGAGTCTTGGGAAAGTTATATCTCTTCATACCTGTTTCCTCATCTATAAAATGGGGCAGCTGTACTATAAGATCTTTAAGCTCCTTTTTGGCTCTAAAATGAAAAATCCTGCTCTGATGTCTCACCCTGCTCCTCTCTATCAAATCCAACCCAGGGCCAGGGACCAGACACTAATCCTCTTGCCATCTTGACCTTCTGCCCTGGCCACCTCAGCACAAGACATTGGTTTATGCTTTACTGAAAACACTGAGACCATCTACCCTAACCTCCCTCTACATTCTACATATTAAAATCCCTACAGTATCACCCCCATTCTCTCCTCCTTTGCTCTAGTCTTAGAAGAAATGCCAAGGCCTCTACTTGTGCCATTGTTACAATCCCCCTCCTGTGTACTCTGGGAGCTTCAATTCTTCCCATTCTCCCTTATTTTTGGCCTCTCCTTATCTCCTGGTTCCTCCCCTGCTGCCCACGTTTAGATTTCACACCTGATTCCACTCTCTCCTCCTGCTAGTCATCCATCTCTCTTATCTGTACTCATTGCCTTTACTTCCTTGACTCCTACCCCTTTCTCCACCTCACCACTTAACTCATCCTCTTCTCTGGATCTAACAATCTTTCCTCAGCTCCTGTCCTCTTGGCCCACATGCAGTGTCATCCCCTGATGACACGCCCCCTCCTCTGGGGTGCTCTCTTCGGGGGTTGTCATGACACTGTTCTTCTGGTAGCCTCCTTTTTGTCTAACCACTTCTCAGTCTCTTTGCAGGATTGTTTTCCAAGTCCTGCCCCATAAGTGTGACGGTATTTTAGGTTTTAGCCCTGAGTATTTCTTGTTCTGCACTCTTATTGATCTCATCAATTTGCACATGTCAACTCTTTTTTATATAGGTAATTTCCCAATCTACATATTCAGCCTCCTATCTCTCTTGAGCTCTCCATTCCATATCATCTGTTTGCAGGAGATCTCCACCTGGACAGTTCATAGGTATCTCAAACTCAGCATGTTTAAAACAGAACTTGTTATCTTTTCCCCAAACCTACTCTTCCTTATAATATTTTTATTTCTATTTGAAGGGTATGATCATTCTTCCAGAAAACCTAGGTATATCATGCTGGAGCTATCCTTGACTCTTCACTCTTCCTCATTCCAAGAATATCTAATTAGTCACCAAGTTCTCTGTGGTAAGTCAGATGAACAGAATGGTCCCTTTCCCTTATTCAGTATCAATCAAATCTAACATGTTGATGACGGACAATAAAATAAAAACAACAAGCATTTAAAGTTGCAGGAAGGTCCATTAGGGAGCCAGACATAATTCAAGTACTCTCAAAGACTGACCCATACAGCAAGAAAACTGGATAGAAATAAAAATATTTTGGAAAAGGAATGATTAAATCTGAGAAAATTCAGTATAAAAGATGATGTCACTTTGTCCTTCTGATGAACAGGACCCAAACAGATTCATAAAGTGGCTTAATAATTTTCAATCACAAAAGCTATAGAGTCAATTCCTGTTCTTTTAAAGGGGGAAAAAGTTCTGTGAAAAAGATCTCTGAGCACTCTCCAACTTAGTTGGATTGCTTCTCCTAAAATCTCAAATCATAATTCATTAAAGCCTGAAATGTGGAAATAGGAATTCTATTTCCTTTGGGGTGTATGTATTGATTCACTTTTCAGAGCATAGGCAGTATTTACCTGAGGAATTCATAATTCTTGCATTCAAAGTTGAATCATTTATTCTCATATTTAAGTAGCCTACTACATAAAAAAAACTCCAGTGCCCCTATTACCTCTAGGATGAAATATGAAGTTTTCTCTCTGTTTGGCATGTAAAGCTCTTTACAACATGTCCCCTTCCTATCATTTTAGTTTTCATACACATTACTCATCTCCTGGCACTCTGACATGCTGTCTTCTCTTCACGAAGGATGTGCCGTGTCCCATCTCCGTGCCTTTGCACTGGCTGTGCCCCTGCCTGGAATGCTCTCCTTCCTCATTTCTGCCTCTTTGAATCCCTGGCTTTTTTCAATATTCAGCTGAACCATCCATCTTCTGGAGGACACCTTTCCCGTTTCTACCCTGAGACCCCAAACCCCAGGTGAGAATGCCTTATCCTTTAAAGTTTCCTAGTATGGTATCTACTTTTATCTTGTATATACGCATATTTGTGTACACATTGTCTCCTTCATTAGAATATAAATTCCCTGAGGGCAGGGGCTGTTTCATTTTTGTCTTTGTTCCCCCTGTGCTTAGCAGAATGCCAGCACTTGAAAAGCGAACAGTAAAATACCTGATTGATTTGAAAGGCAGTTTGTGAAGGGGGCAGACAAGAAAGGGAGTAGGCAGGGAGAGACCAAAGTGGACAGCAGGGTCCAGAAAGGCTTCCTGAGGAGGTGAATCTTGACCTGGAGCCCTTCTAAGGAGTGACCAGGCTTGGACGAAGCACGATTGGAAGAAGAATGGCCAAGTGTCTCTGTTGCCAGAGCTTGGGGGTTGACAAACACCCATCACACTCTGGTCTGAACCACTTGGACAGAATATGCTTGGGCCAGGTGGGGGCCACTCAGCTGAGAACCTCCCACTGCCCAAGGCACCTGGATATGGTCTTGAATGCTCCTTCCACTACACTTTTGGGTGGTGGCATCACTTTTAGGGACCCCTGTGTTCCTGCCCTGAGGAGCCTGCTTTAGCCTTCCTGAAACCATAGACCCAGGCTTGTTTTAAAGCCAGGCAGTTACTAAATAGCTGGGGAGTGTACAGAGAAAATGGTGGGGGGGAGGTGAACCTGGAAACAGTAATGGGGAGCAAGGAGTATTCCAGCTCCCCCAGCTAAACCAGGTTCCACTCAAACTGGCAGGTGATGTTCCCTGCACATGCTATTCTACCTCTGGCCTCCACACCATTAGACGGTTTCCTATGTGTGGAACATTCCTTGTCCTTCTACTCATCCATAACTTTCCTAAATTCTTTTGTTTTGAGCAAGAATGCCAAAATCCACAGAATTTAGCTCCTCCAGTAATTTGTCTATTTGCTCGTATTCAGAAAAAGAATCTCACTATAAAGTACTAGCTAAGTTAACTCATTACTTAAAAATCTGGTGATTCTTAGAACCTTCTGCCCCTTTGGTATTTTGGGGCTTGATAAAATCAGGATATTATCTACCACAAGTATTATCTGGGGGATGCTGCCATCTATAGTGAACCCTTCTTCCATCGGGACTCGAATATTCTCCTTAACAGAGGTCAACTCCTCCAGCTAATGAATGAATTGTTTCTCTCAGCTGATGGTTTTTTTTTTGCCTCGGTTGATATTGATAACCAGAGCTTCATTGAACAAAGTCCTCTCTGCTGACACTTGTTTCGCGGCACTTATTAAGATGGAGATGAGACACCTTGCTGGGGGGTAACATATAAGGCTGCATTCCGCTCTGCAAACAAATACTTTTTAATAGTCTACGGGAGCAAACAGCGAGATCCTACGTCTGTACACAGGTGGTTTCCGGGCTTTTCTAGGGAGGACCTTTTTTAGTGTCAGTGTCTTCGCCCCCCTCGCACAGAGTAGGCGCTTAATAAATGCTCGCTCTGCTTCCCACTCCCAGCGGGGTGCTCGCTCCCTGACTCTCGGGGTTCTCACCTGCTAAGGGGGCGGGGTGGCTGAGAAGGGCTGCAGGCCGCTGGCGGATTTCAATTTTATTTCGCCAGCTGCCACGATCAGAAAAATTCATTCCCACGTGGCCGCCCGGCCGGGCCCGTCCTTGAAAAGTTGGTTCGGGGCGGCCAGGCCTACGTTGGAGGCCGGGCCCGCCTTCCCAAAGCCCCTTCCCTCCCTTTCCCTGGGAGGCTGCCTGCGGGCCGCGGCCTCTGCCATTCCACCCCGAAGCTTGGGGCAAGGGGGATGACCACAGGGAGGCCTGGATTCAAATCCGCGTCAGTTTTGTGTCATTAGCTCCGACTCCGTCTCTCTAGGCCTCAGTTTCCCTTTCTGTAAAACGAGGGGGTGGGGCCTCCACGGCTTCTCCTAGGTCCCTCCCAGCTCTGGATCTGCGATCCTCGGGTGCCGGGCCCAGAGGCCGGGAGCTGGCCCTCCCGCAGGCCGCGAGCCCTCCCCGAGAGCTCCGCCTCCCTCCCGCCTCTGGTCCCCGGCCTCCTGCCCCGCCCTCCGGCCTCTGCGGCCCGGCCCCGGGAGGGCGGGGGCCGGTCTTACCGGAGCAGGCGCCCCCGGGGCCATGGCCTCTTCGTCTCCTCCGGCCCAGAGCCGGCTATCGGGCGAGCCCGGAACGGCCCCGCGGTCAGTCCACCGCGCCGGCCCCAAGCGCCGACCCCGCGCTGCACCCGGGCCACGCGCCCCGTCGGCCGAGGGGAGGGGCCTCCCTTCCCCGTCTCGAGACCCCTCCACCCTCCGCCCTCACAGCGCCCCCTGAGGCCGGAGGGGAAACGCCCCTGAGAAGGACCCCGCCCCAGCGCCGCCCCGCGCCTCCTGCCTGGGCTTCTCCAGGGCCGCGGGTCCTTTCCATCCAGTTCTGACCCGCTGCTGGCCTGCATTCACCAGCTTCAATTCTATTGAAAGAACAAAACAAAACAAAATACTATGTGCAAAAAACACAGTGCTAGGCACTGGAGAGACAAAAAAACTTGAGTGTCTTCAAGGAGCTAACATTCTACTGGTAGGAGATACAACAAAGAAATAGACACAATTATGCATTATATGTATATGTGTGTGTGTGTGTATATATATATACATATATATATATAAAGATATATACTGTTATGCATAACATATGCATAAAGTTTAAGAAGCCCTGGTCTGGGGAAGTTTTTTCTGGTTCAAGTTGTGCTTTGATCACTATTCCTTAATGGGGAAGGAGTGTCCCAAGCTATGCATCCAAGTCATGACTCCCTTTCCCACCAGGTGACAATTCCACAATGAATATATATGGCAAATAAATCCACGCATCCAAACAGATATCAAACAGAAATCTAGAGAAAGTGTAGATGTGAAGATAAATGCCAGATAATACATAGCATGAACACCCCTCTCACTGAGAGTGAAATAGCTCAGCTCAACCAAGAGAGCCTCAGGCCTCAAGTTTCTAACATTGTTACAAAACTCAACTCTTTACACTCCGGGAATATCCCTCATATTCAGCAGCTGACCTCTTTTCCTGCATAAGCGTGGAGCCCAAAGCCATCTGGCAAAATCTGCAACCCTCCTTTGCTTTCAAACATTTATGCACCTATACTTTCCTTTCCACCCTAAAATAGCTGTGTCTGCACCTCCATCACCACTCCACAACAAGCTCCTCTACATCTTGGCTTCTACCAGAGTGGTTTTTTTTTCTTCCTCTAAGAACTTGAGGAGAGTCTGGAAAAGCATATCTTCTCTCTGCAAGCTGGAAGCCTGAGCTTCTTTCAAGCTCTCACCAGCTCCTCCCTTCACTAAGCAAGACCTTGTGAGTGATTTCAGTTCAGATAATCACACCGTGCCTCCTTAGCTCCCTTAAACAATTAGATAACCCCACTCAACTTTCTTTTCCTTCTCTCACTAGCATCTTTCTCTTATAATTTTATCTTATCTTACTTTTGTTTTTGGCTTGCCAACTACTTTCTCTTTGAATCTTTCTTCCTTAGGGCTCTTACTCTGGTGTACTTTTTTAGAATGTCCTCCTTAAATCAAATTGTTCTCTAACTTTAAAAAATTTTTTCCCCAAATTTCTCCTCCTTAATCACTAGCCTTCTTCATGATTCCAACACCCTCCAAAACACCTTAATGATTATTAATAAAAACAACTTTAAAAGACTTGAGAACTCTGACCAAGCACTCCCAAGAAACTGATGATAAAGCATGTTACCTAATTCCTAAAAGAGGTGATACATCGAAGGTACAGAATTAAGCATACATGTTTGGCAAATAGTTGGATTTGTTTTTACCTTACTATGCTTGTTTGTTACAAGAAATGTGAACTTTTTTATTTAGGAAGGATTTTGGGGGGAAGATGTGGGCTACTGATAGTATTACCCTCCAAAAGAAAAGAGGATTATTGAAACATTTTAAGAAAAACATAAGAAGTTCAGAAGGAAACACAAATAGGACAGCTTTGAAAAAATGTCGAATTTATTATATATTCTTAAAAAGCAACTTATGCATAAGAGATTCACAATTTTGCATATAATCTTTTTCTGTTCTACTTTGTATATGGAAATGTTTCTTTTGGATATTAAATTCAAATTTTAAAAAGTTAAAAAAGAATGTAAACACCTTTAATCAATTGATCCACAAACATTTATTAAGCACTTGTTGTGAGCTGGGAACTGTATTAAGCACCCAAGATACAAAAAAGGCAAAAGACAGTCCCTGCCTTCAAGGAGCTTACAGTCTAACGCAGAAAACAACATAAGAACATATATATGCAAAGCAAGCTATATGCTGGATAAATAGGCAATAATTAACAGATGGAAGGCACTAAACTTTAGAGAGAATAGGGAAGGCTTCCAGTATAAGGGATTTTAGTTGGGACTTAAAGGAAGTCAAGGAGATCAGTAGTTGGATTGGAGGAGAGGAAGGAAAGTTCCAGGCATGGAGGACAGCCAGAGAAAATGCCCAGAGCTGAGAGATGGAGCATCTTGTTCAGGAGAGCAACATCATGGGACTGAAGAGTATATGTCGGGTAGGAAGAAGACTGCAAAGTTAGGAGGGGGCTTTGAAGATAGAGACTTTCTCATTGTGGATCCCCAACTTAGTTCAATGTCTGACACAAGGCAGGGGCTCAATAGATGCTTGTTGATTGAACCAGGTCCTAAAATCACTTAAGAGAGTGACTTAGAGGTAGGTAACGGGGAAATTGGGTGGTTCAAATTAATATCTACAGGTCATAAAGGGATATTGGGCATAGCAATTATTGATAAGTGGCAGTAATAATGCAAAAAAACATGGCACTACCTTCTCCTAGTCCTGGAAGTAGAGAGAGTGGGGGAGTCTTCATCCTATTGACTCGAGTTTGAAGGGATAAATTGTCCTCCTGAGGTTGGATGTCTGTTAAATCAAGGATGTAGGAGTCTGGAGCCCTTCAAAGGAAGAGGGTTACTTTTTCCACTGAGGTACTTAGTGGCTGCTTAAGAAATGCTTCTTGTGGAGTGGTGATGGAGATGTAGACACATCTATTTTAGGGTGGAAAGGAAGGTATAGGTACGGAAATGTTTGGAAGCAAAGGAGGGTTGGAGATTTTGCCAGATGGCTTTGGGCTCCCTGGCTAAGCAGGAAAAGAGGTCAGCTGCTGAATATGAGGGATATTCCCAAAGTGTAAAGAATGTTTAGTTTTGTAAAAAATGTAAGAAAGAAATATGATGGGGAGTGAAAAGAGAACAAACTAAATGAATGCTGAGCATCAGTTGGGATCCAACTGGAGCTAGCTTGAGTTTGTCTTGGGTCTAGTTAATATGATTTTGAGACTTCCTTCAAATACTGTCCTAGACGCAGGAGTGAGCAAAGCAGCAGAGCAGGAGGAGGATCCAGAATAGGAGTCTTAGGAGTATGCAGCAAGCCAGGTCATGGCAAACTCTGAAAGGTGGGCTGGGCCTGTATCTCATGAGAAGGGCAAAAGGAAATTACTGAAGCTTCCAGTCAAGGGAATAATGCAGTAAGACAGTGCTGAAGAAGCAATAATCTTGCAACTGAATTTTGAGAGGACTGCAGTGTGGCAAGATTTAAGGCAGAGACAGTCTTGACTGGTGGACAAAGTCTCGTCCATTACTGTTAATTGGAGATGTGCACTGAGTGCATCGTAGTTTCAAATTCACAGAAGATGCTCAGTAAACATTATCTGAATGAATTATGATTGCTTTGATTACATAATCGTTTGAGCAGGGGCACCTCAGGCTCTGACAATTTCTTTTCTTTTTAAGGACTTAGGGGAAGTTAGAATGTTGTGGTCCTTTTTACTTAAGGGCCCTGGGACAAGAGGGAAGCCAGGGTGAAGAAGCAAGGAATAGAACGTGATTCCACGAGTGTCTGTAGGCTTCTCTTCTTTATAACAGCTGACATTTATCTAGTGCTGTTGAAGGCTGCAAAATGTTTTACAGGTATTATCTAGTTTGAACCTGAAAATAATCCAGGGAAGTAATTCTATAGGTATTGTTATCTCCAGTTGATAGAGTTAAATTGAGGAAGCAGAAGTGAAGAGTAAGCACGTTCATAGTCACAAAGCTGATACATTTCAGGGGAGTAATCCAGCTTTATGCCTCTTCTACTCCAATCCTGTTTTTTTTCCCCCACCACATCACAATGCCTCTCTCAAACCTAAGCCCCTAATCCTGAGTTTCCGTGTCTGCTGCTGCAAAAATCTCACTTCTCAATAAAATCCCCACAGTCACTTTTCTCCAGCCAAACAAATTTGGTCTTGCCAGATTTCCCCAGGACACTTCCCTGCCAGAAATGTCTCCTAATTTCTTTCAAACTCAGCTCAAAATCCTTCATGAAGCCTTTCTGGGTATATTTCAACCAGGGGTTCCCCTACTCTTTTACAGGGTATTCTCAAAGCTTTTACATCAACAGTAATTGCTCAGGTGTGCTTGCCTACCTCCCCCTGGGATTTCTATGTCCCTTTATATACCATAGGTGAGGAATCTTTTTCAGAATTAGGGCAGCACCACTTCTTCTATTTCAATCACATCTTCCCTCACTGTCTATCTAGTACAGACACTACGTCAAATTGGGGGAGATGTTACACACCTGAAAGACGTGCTCAGATTCAGAGATGCTCTATTTATTGTCAGTAAAAAACCACTGCAGGAAAACCATCCCACCACTCGGTGCCTCAACAGCAATTGGATTCATTCAGGTCTACATTCTACAGGTTCTTTCAGGTTCTCCAGATGATCACCAGCACCATCTATTCAGGCTTGGGAATAGCAGGAGAAAGATTTCCATTTTTGTCAGCCTGATAATTTCATATTTAAGTTTATGAAGAGATTGAGTGTCAGGTTTTCAGGAGAAATTCTTTGGCTTGTAGAGAGTAATGAAAAAACAATAGGGGGTTTCAGCAATGGATAGATAGTATTTGTGACATCTTGGTAACCTCTTTAGAGCCAGCTTATGAGCTATATAAGACACACATCATTAGTTATTAGTTATTGTTTGTTTTTGAAAAAACAAACAAGCAGAACCCAGCATTAGCCAATTTCATCACTCACTTTATTGGCTAGATTGTACTGAACAGTTGTGATGTAGATAGGATAACCTTCTGCTTGGTCAAAGAGGAGACCCATGACCAAGAAGTGGAAGTTATAGAGAGCCTGATTCTGGTTCAAGCTAAGGAGATACTTCTCAACAATGAAAGCTATACCAGGATGGAATGGCCTGCCTCATGAGGTAGTGAGGTCCCTGTTACTAGAGATATTCCAGCAGAAGTTGAATGACCAAGAAGATAGTAGAATTTGGTCTAGATCATGTTCTTTGCCTTTCACAATGACACTTTGCCATATCTACCCCTTGTATGCTGAGGTTTTCTTTTAACTCCAATCAAGGTCCGTCAGTCCATAGAGCAGGCCCTTGTAGTGCCGTTTCTTGGTGTGCCCTTTAATGTGGTCTGTGAGTTCAGACTGGTTGGGGAATGCTCTATCACACTCAATGCAGCAGAATGACCTGGTCTTGCTGTGTCTTCGCTGGTGGACTCTCATGTCTGCTTTCATTCGAAAACTCTTGCCACACTCTGGGCACTGGAAGGGCCTTTCACCTGTGTGTATTCTGATGTGATCAGTGAGATAATGATGCGTGGTGAAGCCCTTACCACATTCACTGCAGGAAAACGGCTTTTCTTCCCTATGCCGGCGCTGGTGGGCCTTCATGTCTCCCTTTACTCGGAAGCTCTTGTCACACTCCGGGCACTGGAAAGGCCTTTCCCCCGTGTGCAGGGGCAGGTGCTTGAGCAGATGGCCCTTCTGGTGGAAGCTCTTGTCACACTCCGGGCACTGGAAGGGTCTCTCTCCTGTGTGGAGGCGCTGGTGCCTGAGCAGGCGGGACTTTTGGGCAAAGTTCTTTTCACACTCAGTGCACTGGAAGTGTTTTCTCGGCCTATGAACTCTAATGTGATTGGCTAGCTGAGACTTGTGGGTGAAGCCTCTGCTGCAAGCATTACAGCGGAATGGTAAGGGCCCAGACCAGTTCTGGTTTTGAAGATCATATCCATGGCTTTCCTGTTGTCTTGAACCTGAAGGTCCAGAATTCCCTGGAATTAAAAACAAAGATCTAGTCAGGAACTCATGGCTGCTCTACAGAAGATCCAAGGGACTTTGAGGGACCAGGGACCCAGTTTAAATCTTGGCTCTGGTGCTTTCTACCTATGGGACCCTGGGTACATCAATCAATCAGCATTTACTTCTGAATGACGTTGGCTTTGCCTCATCTGTAAAATAAAGGGGCTGGATTTGATGGTGTGAGGTCTCTTGAAACTTTAAATCTATGAACCTACTACAATCAATTAAGCAACAAGTATTTATTAAGCACCTACTATGTGTCAGGCTTAGGGGATACCAATAAAAAAATGAATTAGTCTGTACTCTTTATAAAGGGGATTAAATTCTGTGGGGAGAGACAAGCATATAGTTAAAAGTATTCAGGATAAACACAGAATAAATACAAGGCAGTTAAAAACAAAAATAGTTAGGGAGGGGGGGAAGGGATCCAGAAAGGCTTTGTGTAGACAGTGGTGTTTCAGAAAAGTTTTGAAGGAAATGAGGGATTCTAGGAGGCAGAGGTATATTCCAGGGATGGAAGGCAGCTAGTGCAAAGGCCTGGAGAATGCAGATGGAGTTTTGTGTGCAGCTTGGTGAAAAGGTCAATTTGGCTAGACTGCAGAATGAGGGAAAAGGAGGAAGGCACAAGGAACCTGGAAAGAGAGGTTAGTGTTAGGCTATGAAGAGCTTTAAAACCAGAGAAGTTTAATATCTGAGCTCATGGAACATTCCTTTGGCAGCTATATATGGAGGCTGGACTGGAGGTGGAATGGTCCTGAGGCAGTTATGAGGCTACTGAATTGATATCAGTAAGAGGTGAGTAGGCCTGAATTAAGGGTGTAGGTATGTAAGTAATGAGAATGGTACATGAGGGAAGAGATGTTATGGGGTAGAAACTGTAAGATTTGGCAACTAGTCAAATATATGGGTGATGGAGACTGAGAATTTGAGGGTAACACTGAGGTTATGAACCTGGGAGACTCAAGAATGGTGGTACCCTCAGCAAAAAACAAAAACAAGTCTGAAAGAAGGGAGGTGGAGAGGGAAGATAATGAGTTCTGTTTTGGACATTTTGGGTTTGAGATATCCATGGGAATCCAGTCTGAAACGTTCAATAGGCAATTTGTAGAGCTCAGGAAAGAAACGGGCTGGGTAGCTAGATCTTGGAGACATCTGCATAGGGATAATTAAACACATGGAAACTGATAAAGTCACAAAGACAAAAAGTGTGGAGAGAAGAGGGCACAGGATAAAGCCTTGGGATATACCCACATTTTATGGATGATAACTACATAGAAGTAGGAGAGAATAGTGTCTCAAACACCCAAACAACAAAGAGTATCCAGGAAGAGAGAGTGGTCAATAGTGTTAAATACTGCAGAGATGAAGAGCAGGATGAGGACTGAAAAAAAAAGCCCATTTGAAACTGGAAGTGAGGAGATCATTGGTAATTTTAGCAAGAGCAGTGAAGTGAAAAGCCAGATTGCAAAGGGGTGAGGAGTGAGAAGAGAGGAAGAAGAGGTAACAAGTATAGACACTTTTCCCATAGGAGTTTGGCTGGGAAAAAAGGAGGGACATAGGAGGAAACCGTAAGGTCCAGTGAAGGTTTTTTGATGACTGAGGAGACTTGGACATGTTTGGAGGCAGTAGGGGAGGAACAGTAGATAGGGGAAAAGTTTGTATTAGAAAGTATGAGAATAGATGAGAGCAGGGGTAGTTTGCTGGAGAAGATAGGAGGGGATGGAAAAATGGTCACATTGGTTAGAAGGACCATCTCATTATAAAAAAAAATAGAATCAAGGAAAAGAGATTGGAGGATGTTATCAAGGGGCTTGGAGAGAAAGAGAAGGGGAGAAGAGGGAGATTATGGTCTTAATTTCTTCAGTAAAGTAAGAGGTAAGGTGCTTGGGTGAGATGGTGGGGTTAGGAGGGAGTATGGGAGATTTAATATGAACAGAAAGTTTGGAGAAGAGGGAAACACTTTGAATGGAGTAAAAGGATTTCCTTTCTGCAGTGAGGGCCCAGTTGAGGCTAGAACTCTGTGGTAGCCCAGGTTATCATGGTTCTGTGACTTCCTTCAGGAGCACATGAGGAGCAATTGAAGAGCAACATGATGAAACAATTTAAAGTTGTGGTGTGTCAACAGGTAAAGGGCTTGAGGGATTCTATAGGACAGTGTGGAGTTGAATGGTTAACTATAGAGTGGAGACTGAAGAGAGGAAAGTGGAGTCAAAAAAGGAGTAATAGTCTGAGAAAGTGCAGAGGGGTGGAGGGATTGGAGCTCATGATGAGGGACGAGAATAGATTCAGGAGGGGAAAAGGCTAAGGAGACATAGTCATAGTTAGATCTAGGAACAATCCTAGGACCATGTCTTATTTATCTTTCCATCTCTCCCAGCATTGATCCCAGGACTCAGGATAACATGGCATAATGGAAAGTGCACTGAATTTGGTATCTGATGACCTGAGTTTGAATTCCAGCTCTTCCACGTATGAACGACGTGACTACTCTAAACTTCAGCTGGATTAAGGCCAAGGTTGCTGTGTGAATCAAATGGCATGTTGCACAGTCTTCTGTAACTACAAAGCTCTGTATTAACGTAGGACATTTTAAATGTTTCTTGAATTTACCTCTCCATGTCCTACCAAAGTTAGACTCTGACTTGGCCTGTACTGAAATTCCCTGCCCTGCTCCCTCAAATTTCATTCCCAAGTGAAGCTACTATTCTTTCCTTAAATTCATTTCTTCATTAACAACCAAATATAATCATACTGCTTAGACAAGGTTTAAACTGGATGCACATAACCAGGTGAGACATGACCCAAAGGACATAAGGTTCTGACACATGTCTTGTAACATCAAACCTCAAATGTGTGAATCCACAGATTCCTCTCCCTGAAGGAAGACATGAAGACATGGAGAGTGTTTATGAATGGACAACAGTAAAGTTCCTTCCACACACTTTGTAATAATTGACATGTACTTTACATGGTACATTTATATATATATATGTATATGTATATATATGTGTGTGTATATATATATATATATATATATATACCTTATTTGATGTTTGTAATAATCCTGCGAGATATTGTATACATAATACTTTGTGTGGGATCAAAACATCATTCTTATTTATAGATGAGAAACTGAAGTTCAGAGAGACTAATTGAGTTGCCCAGGGTCACACAGATGACAAAAGGGGGAAGCGGACAGGCAGTGTCACCCTGGTCCTCCCAGGTGCAATTCTCTTTCCACCAGGCTGGGCAGCCTAACAGTCATGAGAAGAGAAAAATCAGGAAGAACTAACTCCCTACCTTCTCCCTCCCTGCCCAGATTCAAAGCTGCTCCAAGTCAAGGTCTGTTGAGATTGCTCTTTCTCCAAATTTTTACTCATGTTGGGACAAATGTTTCCAAGCAGAAAACTTTGGTTACTGGAAATGGCGAACCTACTCTTGGGAAAGAAAATCAGATAAGAGTACAATCTTTTTGTTCTGGAATGCCTACAATTAGTCCTATCTTAGGAGTTTTATCTTGTTTTTTATTTCAAGTATGCTTATTTCAGATGACTAAAAAGATGGTAGAAATCTCATTAATTTAACAAGTAAAAAACCCCAAAACAAAACCTGTGCCTTGTCTCTCCTAACTTACAGAGCTAACTAGGAAGCCAACCTTTCCTCATCTAGGGGCAGAATCTTAAATCTTATCCCCTATAGAGTTGCTGCTTTATTTATCTATTGGAAAGCAACAGCAAAAAATGAAGTGACATCTTTTCTCATGATGCTGAACATTGGCCTCCTCAACCAATGACAGGTTTCATTGTACTTCTCAGAATTCAGGAGTTCAGATTTCCCAATCGTGATAAGAAAAACAGAAGAGAGCTCATCTAGGTGTATTTAAGTGAAGGTCAGTGCCCAGTGGTGTTGTTTTAGGTCTGTAGCCCTCACTACGTGGTTTCTTTATGGAATCTTTTGAAGTTTAGTCTTCCCCTCATATTGAACTCCAGCTCAGCCTATCATGAAAGGAAGACTTATTGAGTCTAAGAAGGAGGAGAATCAGAACATGCCATCCTCAGTTTCACTCCTTTTGCCCCTTCTAACTCACCCCAAAACAGCTGCACCTCTGTACTCCTCCAGTCAAGATGTTCATTACCACTGGTGCAGACTGCAAATTCTCCAGTTTCCAAGTTCCCTTGACGGCTGATGAGGGACTCTTCTTGTTCAATCTGGGTTATCGAATCTGGCCTGGGGATGGCACAGCCTGGACAGAGGCCACAAAGAAGCAATTAAGTTTCTTTTCCTTCAGCTTACATTAGAGGTACAAGGTATAGGAACACATACACAAAAATCTGGGGTTCAGGTGCTATAAAGCAGAATACAACTGCTCACCCTGTAGCAGAGGGACATCTAACTCATTTGACTCGTAGGTACCAATGAGCGGTTTGATTTCTCCACATTGCCCAAACTTCTAAAAGGACTGTGCAGTTTATGTTGTTGATTTCATAAAGTCAACCAAAATTGTTTTTGTTTTAAGAATTCCTAGATACTGACTTGAGGGGATTCAAGATATGCTGGGCTGTCACAAAACAAAGCTTCAAATCGCTATGCTTTGAAACTAACTGACCTCAGCTGAAATGTTCCCAACAGTGTTCTTAGTGGCAGTTTCCATTGCCCCTTGGTTCAATGGGATTGGGACTGTGCTGTTCAGAATGAAGAAACAGCATTCCCTGCCCCCCACAACGCCCCATTCATATTTATATGGTGCTTTAAGATTTTAAAAACATTCTATTTACCACAACCTTGTGAAATTGGCATCTCAGTCATTAGCCCCATTTTAAAGATAATGAAACAGGCTCTTCAACATGCTGTAATTTTGATTTGTTCAAGGTCCATACCGTCTATAATGGAGCTGCCATTCAAACCTGGGTTTCCTAATTCTTTCTGCTCTAGGTACTGCCCAGTTTCTACTACACCAAGTTGTTCCTAGACAGTTTATGAAGGTAAGTTGTAAAGTATGAACCGTAAGCGGAAAAAATTATTTGGCCCCTGAGTTAGGCTTCCAGTACTGGAAGGCAATAGTAGACATGGGGAATCTGATAAGCAAAGATTGCCATGGTTCAGATTATCATCTTAATCTCTTCAAATCTAGTTTCTATTCTAATTACATCAATAGGGATTTATTAAATGTTTACTATGTGACAGGTATACAGATACAAATACAATGAATGAAACAATCCCTGCACACAAGGAGCTTATGTTTTCCCAAAACTGTTACCATGAAGGTGATCAAAAATTTTCTGGCTATTGTCAGCTATCATTCATTTCATATCATCTTTGGACTTTCTGCAACTTTTGTGCTCAACTCTGCTTTTGAAAACTTCCTGATTCCTCTGTGAAGCCTTTCCAGAGTCCACTCTAGACAACAGTGCTGTCTACCACACCTGTACATTTACAGCACTTATTACTGAATATACATGTTTGTCAAGTAATCATTGTATTGCCTCCTGATCTGTCTTTATATTGATATCGTCAACTGTTATTTGCATTTTCAAATATTTATGTCCTGCTTGTTTACATTTTAGGTATCCCTAAATAGACAAGTTCTTTGAAAAGTACTGTGTCATTTATAGTGATAAATACTTCTGGTCATACACACTACTATATATCTTTAGAATTTCAAGTGTCCTTCACAAAGTAGGAATGATTATCAAATGAATATCAAATATTAGTCATTTGATATAGGTGTGTAGGAAAGATATATGAAATTCCTCTTTGGTATGCTAGATTTGGTATGTGGTTGTGTGTGTGTGTGAGACTAATATTTACATTAGCACTTTTTGGGGCAGCAAAAAACTGGAAATAAAGTGGGTGCCCATAAACTGGGGAATGGCTAAAAAAAACCCCTATAGTATATGAATGTATTAGAATTATACTGAATTTAAGAAATGTTGATTATGAGGAATTTAGGGAAAAGAGAAGATTTTTATCTATTGATGCAGAGTTGAATAAGCAGAACTAAAAGAATAAACACAATGACAATATAAATGAAAAAGATCACTAAAAGGAAGTTAAGCTCTAAGCAACTAGAAAATCAATAATGAAGCTAACAGCATATGATATGAGGCTAACATTTGATTGTCCTTTTTACAGATTTGCTTTTCCTTCTCAGACTCCAGAATCTGGGGTTTCTCAATCATAAGAAAAACAGGACAGAGCCTCTGTCTATGTATGACACACATGACAGTGAAGTTATTTCAGGTCTGGAGCGCTGACCAGCTGATCTCTTCACCTGCTCTCTTGAAGACCAGTCCTGCCCTGACATCAAACCCCAGCTCAGATGGACATGAAAGGACGATTTAAGTCCCAGAAGGAGGAGAATCAGAATGTGTCCTCCTCAGTTTCACTGCTTTCACCTTTTCTCACTCACCAGAAAACAGCTGCTCCTGTGTGCTCTTCATGTCAGGATGCTCATCAGCCTTGGAACCAATGGTCAGTTCTCTTGTGTTCAAGTGTCCCCCATCTCTGATGAATGGCTCTTCCCCTTGTTCAATCTGGGTTATCAAGTCTGGTTTGGGAATGGCATAGCCTGGACAAAGGCCACAAAACAGCAATTAAGTTTATTTTTCTTATGATCCCTAGAACCACAAGTTTTGGGAACATGTATAACAAATGAGGACTTTATGGTGCTATAAAGCAGAATGACTGACTGTACCCTGGCATTAGGTTCCTAGAGTGATGCCCAACCTATCTGGCTCTAAGCTGTCTGTGAGTTAAGTTCTTCACACCTTTTGTGTATAGTGATTGAACAATATCCATTATAATTATTTTTGTTTTTCGAGCTCCTCCATAGTCAGTAATTTAGTTGCCAGGAAATATCTTTTGGCTCAAATTATCAGCTACTATTCATTTTATATCCTCTTTGGCCTTTCTGCAACTTCTGCTTATCAAATATATATATTTTTTAAAAATCTGACTATCCTCCTGTGTGTACCCTTTCTAGTGTACTCAGGACCTCAATTATTTTTTCTTTCCCTGTACATTTGCTGCACTTATAATATGTATTTGACAATTAATCAGGTACTGTCTCCTGACATGGATTTTATCACTATAGTGAACTGTCATTGGTCTTTTATATTGTCATTTGTCTTCATATGTTTATATCCTGTTCGTGATCTCCCTAAACAGAACACAACTCCCTTGAGGACAAATATTTATCGTATCTTATACTGCTATGTATTCCCTATAGAACTTAATCAAGTGCCTTTCACAGTAGGCATGAAACAAGCATTAATCAACCGATTGACTAGTGGTGTTAATGTTCCTCCATGCTGCTGCAATAGGCAGACAGACACAAGGGATATATGGAATTCTTGTTGGACACATTGGGGAAAAGTTGAGGGAGTTATGCACTAAAGATGTTAGAAGGGAAAACTAAAAGATACATGACAGGCTAGAAAATTTGAGTTGCCATTTTTTTGTTAGGAGATATTTTGGGAACCCTGAAATGAGAAGCAGTGAGATGATTTGCAATAGGACCTGAGACTCCTTGGCTGGCAGAGATTGATATCAGCCAGGTTCAGTAAACATTACTGGAAAAAAAAAGAGGCTATAGGGTGTAAAGGACACTTTATAGATCTGAAGTGACAGAGAGGCCAGGTTGAACTAGCATAACAGCCTGTGTAGGGACAGGCTGTTCATTATTCACTAAGAAACTTTTCCAATTCTAGGTGATTCATTTAAACTAAATAATGATGGCTGCTATTAAAGCTGACTCTTTCCTTTTTGCATTGCATCTTATCCTTCTAATGTTTATTGTGTTGAATAATATTATCTATCCATCCAGTCATTAAAGTCCAAAGATTTTTACAAAAGCTATAAAATGTGAAATTTATTCCATATATACTAAAATAGCTGGAGCACCAATTCTGTGTTAACACAGAACTGGAAACAAGACAGGCACCCATTAATTGGTGAACAGGTGAACAAATTAAAAACTCCATAAAAAATAAGGAATAGATGGAGGGATTCAAAGAAACATTGGAAAACTTGTAGAAATGGTAGAAAGAAGTAGGAAAACAACATATAAAATGACAATTATGTAAATTAAAACAACATTAAAAAGACATAGAATTCAGGTTAATTGCAATGTTCAATCGTGATCCAAAGGAACAGGTGACACAATGCATTTCCTTCTACTTGGTAAATAAGGAGAAGACCAAGGGAGCAGAATGTTACATACACTGTATATGAAGTCATTGTGTTGATTTGTTTTGCTTAACTGTTTTCATTTGTTCCAAGGGAAGGCGGTACCAATCCTGGGAAATTACTGCCATTAAAAACAAAAGGTATAATAAAACATTTAAATAAAGTGCAATTGTGGGAAGCATCAATCAGGATGAGGTTTCCAGAACAACTTCCAGGCTGTGGATGGAAGAGCTGGACGATCTTTGGAGGCCTATTCCAGTACATGATTCTATAAGACACCCTCAAAGTTCCTGATGAAAACATCTTACCCAGGGAGAACAAGTTCTCATAATTGGTCTTCATGACATGCTTGTAAAGCTCCTTCTGCCACTCCTCCAGGGTTCCCCACTCCTGCTCCGTGAAATACACGGTCACGTCATCAAATGTCACAGCTACCTGGAACCACAAGCATGAGTCATACTTTTACTTTGCATCACCAATTCAGAAAATATCTTTTTCTATTTCATTTCTTTCACATAACATAGATGCTATAAACTGATTCCCATCAGGTATATTTTAAATATTTTTGTCACAGCTAAAAAGGAGAAACCCTGGGTGCTCATCTTCCCAGATTGGAAGGCTTTTCTTCCCAAGTGTGTGGTAGCAACAATTTGGACACTGAATGGCTAAGCAAAGTTGATGTGCTCTGTGAAAGGCTTGTGGAGGTAAACCGCAGGGGGATAACCTCAGGAAAATCACCTGACTTCTCTGGCAGATGGTAATGATCTCCAGCTCCATCCCTGCTCTGAATCCCCAAACCCTGGAGCTGCTGAGCCTCTGTCCCAGGAGCACAGAAATGGTGATCTCTCATCTCTTTCCCTTTCCCCAAAGTTATGGACTCTCACTTGCAGTCTCTCCTCCAACTTCCCATAGATCCTTCTCTCCCTACCCTCTCAGCTGAGAAGCTGAAAAAAGGCCATTTTCTGAGAGCGTCTTCTCTCCTCATCTCATCTCACTAAGATGCCATGTCCTTCACCTCTTTGTCACGTGAAGAGATGGCCTTTCTTCTTGCAAAGGCAGTCCCCTCTACATGTACTTCGGATCCCATCCCATCCTATCTTCTCCAGCAAATGGTCACCTCTGGAATCTTTGACTTAGCTATTGTCCTATAATATCTTGCCTCTCTTCAGTGGATAAACTTTCTACAATTTGTGCCTGGCTTTTGTCCTCGTCATTCAACTAAGACTGGTCTCTCCAAAGTTACCAGTTTCTTAAGTGCCAAATTTTTCTCAATTCTCATCCTTCTTGACCTCTCTGTAGCTTTTGATGCTGTCCATCACCATCTTCTCCTTGACAGTTTCTCTAGATTTTCCTGATACTGCTATCTCGGTTCTCTTCCCACTTGACCTGACTACTCCTCAGTCTCCTTTGCTGCGTCTTGATCCAGGTCCCACCCTCTAACCATGGGTGTCTCCCAAGCTCTGTCCTTGATTCTCTTCTCTTCTCTATCTACACTATTTCACTTGTTGATCTCATCAGCTCCCAAACATTTCATTACCATCTTTATGTAGATGATTTCCAGATCTACTTATCCAGTTTAAACTCCTCTCCTGACCTCCAGTTTCACAACTCCAAATGCCTATTGGACAACCTGGACTGGCCATCCCTAAGACATCTTAAACTCAACATGTCCAAAACTGAACTCATTCTCTTTCCTCCCAAATGCTCCCTTCTTCTTAGCTTCCCTATTACTGTGCAGGGTACCACCACCCTCCCAGTCACCTGTGCTTACAACCTGGTGTCATCATTGACATTTCATTCTCTCTCATCCCTAAATCCCATCTGTCCTCAAGGACTGTTTATTTTACCTTCCTAGCAGATTGTATACATGACCCCCTTTCTCCTCTGATGCTGCCACAGTTATGGTACTGGTCCTTACCACCTCCCGCCAGAACTACTGAAGTAACCTGATGGTGGGTCTGCAGGCCAAAAGTCTCTCTCCACTCCAGTCTGATAGTCCTCTTAGCTCAGTTCTGACCATGTAACTCCCCTGCTCAAGAAGCTTCAGAAACTCTCTATTACCTCCAGGATAAAACAAAATACAGGCTCTTTTGCCTGGCTTTTAAAGCCCTTTTAAATGTGGCGCCTTCCCCTCTTTGCTGTCTTTTTACGTCTCAGCTGATCCGGACTCTGGTCTGCCAGGTGTTCCCCTTACCACACTCTGTGTCTCTCAGCTCCGGCATTTTCTCCGAGGTGCCCCATACCTGGGATGCTCTCCTTCCTCATCCCTGCCTCCAGGCTTCCTCTGAGCCCGACTTAGATCCCTCTGTCTACACAAAGCCTTTCTCAACCCCTACGAAGTCTAGCATCTTCTGAATTTCTTCTGTTCATTCTCTATGTGGCTGATTTGTCCGCAGTTGTTTTCGGGTTGTTTTCCCCAGTTAGACTGAGCTTCTTGAGGGCCTTTCTATCCCCAGAGCTTAGTAGCACCGTGCCTGGCACACAGTAGGCGCTTAATAAATGCCTGTCGACTGACTGTGTAACTGCAAGTGTTCAGCCTCTCCCTCGACCCTGTTAGGGTCTCCCCTCCCCCGCCCCCAAGATCTGTCCTCCCACCCCGGAGCCCAGGACTAGGAGGCCTGTTGGGGCAAAGGATGGGGCACTAGGTCGGGGTCAGGGGGGCCTGGGTTCAAATCCCGCGTCAGCTCTGTGTAGTTAGCTGGATGACTCCCTCTCTCTGGGCCTCAGTTTCCTCCTCTGTAAAACGACGGGGGAGGCCTCAATGGCTACTCCCAGGTCCCTTCCAGCTCGGGATCTGCATCCCCAGGTGCCGAACTCTAAGGCCGGCAGCTGTCCCTTCCGCAGGCCGCGGACCCTCCCCGGGAGCTCCGCCTCCCTCGCCCCGGGCCTCTGCGGCCCTGCCTCGGCCGCTCTTACCGGAACAGGCGCCCCCGGGGCCATGGCCTCTTGGTCTCCTCCCGCCGGGAGCACGGAGCTCGGCCCAGCTGTCAGGGGCACCGCGCGCTGGGCCACGAGCTGCATCGGAGACGCGCCCAGCCGGCCGCGAGGAGAAGCAGCCCCTTCTCCCAAGCTCCGCCCCCACAGCACCGCCGGCGGGCGGGAGAGGGACCGCCTCCCTCCAGCCCCGGCTTCTCTCGGCCCCGCCCCTCGTGCCTGGGCTTCTCAGTCTCCCCTCCCGCTGTCACCTCCCTCTCTCCCTCCTGTGGGAGGAGCAGGCGGTCCCGTCTCCCGGCGAGGCAGGGGCGGCTCGCGCCCAGACTCCGGGCCGCGCCGTCCTCGAGGCACGTTCTTTTTCAGCCACTCGGTGACCGCAACTTTCCGGTTTTCTCCCAGCTTCCTGGGGTCCTCTCCCCGTCCCTCGCAGCCCTCCCCCTTTCCTTGCAGCCCTAACCCACTGCTGGCCGGGGCAAGCAGGGTTTAAAATTCGAGAGAAAACATTTACAAGCGTCTGGTTTTCAGGTCTGGGCAGCACATTAAAAAAAAAAAAAGACACTGACCAACCGGAGACTTGCTGGAAGAGGATCCCCAGGACGGTCTAGGGCTTTGTGTTATTGCCATGCAACTCAATGAAAGGAAACGGGACTTGGGAAGAGCCTTGTTCCTCGGCTTCAAAACTGGCAGAACGACTGAACCTGGGCAGGCATTACTGCTCCATGTCAACCCGGACAAGAGCAGACTGGAGCTTGGCAGGGAGTGGGGGGTGGGGTGTGTGTGATTTAAGTTTTCTTCTTATTTGAAGGGCCCTCATATGGAAATGGGACTTCTGCTTGGCCCCTAGAAAACAGGCCTGGGAATAACTGAGGCTTGGAATAAAGAAAAGCTTCCTAATAATTAGGAGTATCCTAAAGTGGACTGGGCTACCTTGCTAGGCAGTAGGTTCCCACTTGGGAGTGTTTGGGCAAATGCTGCATGCCCATTTGTCAGGAACTGTAGTCGGGAGTATTTTCTGGTGGCTACCAAATGTCTTTCCAAACAGATTCTGTTACCTGTTAACTTCACTTTGATGTCCCACAGACATCTTATATCCAGCATATCTAAAAAGGAATTATTTCATTGAATTTCTCTCAACCGAATCCTTCCCCCAACTCTTCCTATTTCTGTTGAAGGCACCACCATCTTTTCTGTTTTTCAGGTTCTTCAAGTTCGAAGCCTTGGAGTCCTCTTTGACTCTTCCTTTTCCCTCATGCTCCTAGATCCAGCTGATTGCTAAGTCTTGTTTATTGAGAACTCCGCTACACTCCTTATCTGCCCCACTTTTCTCCATTTGCACAGCCCTTCCCTAGGATATTGTCAGCTCTTTCCTAGACTGTTATAAAAGCCTCCTAATTGGTTTCTCTGCTTCTAGTCTCTTCCATCCTCCACATGGCTATTATTCCACAGACTGATCATGTAGATCCCCTTCTCAGTATTCTTCCTAAGTTTCCAGTTGCCTCCAATATAATGTCAAAACAAAACAAGACAATCCTCACAGAATCAGAGTCGGAAATTACTTCAGGTGCCATTTGGTCCAACCTTTATCTAAAAAAATTCACTAGCACGATATGCCTTGAAGTATTCATCCAGCCTTTGATCAAAAATCCTGTAAGGGGATTACCACTCCCCACAGCAGTCCATTCTACATGTGGGTGCCTCCAATTGTTAGGACGCTTTTTCCTCATTTCAAGCCTTAATTTCCCTTTGCAACTTCCAGTCATTGCTCCTAGGTCTGCCCTCTGGTGCCAAGTAGAAAAATAAATCTAATTCTTCTTCCGCAAACTTGCCGATAGGTATCATATTCCCACTGACTTTTCTCTTCTTCAGGCTGACATAAAATGAATGCTACTTTGTGTCCTGAACCAGTTCTGAAACTAGGTAATTGTACTGTTGCCCAGTCCCAGCTCCTTGAGATGATCCCCATGCCTGAAATGCTTTCCCTCCCCAATCTCTGCCTTTCCCCTCTTAATTCTAACACCTTGCCTCTCCTAATTATTTCCCTTACATCCTGTGTATGGGTTGTTCGTACATATCTGTTTGCTTGTTTTTTCCTTCATTAGATTGAGAACTCCTTGAGGGCAAGGGACTGTCTTTTTGGGATTTCAAGGAAGCCAGTGAGCAGAGATGAGGGAGAGTATTTTAGATATGGGGGATAGCCTGACGAAGCACTTGGAGCCAAGAGAGGTGAGAGGTGAGCAAGCAAGGAGGTGAGAGCCACTAGACTGAAGAGTACTTGTCAGGGAATAAGGTGTAAGAAAGCTGGAAAGGTAGGAGGGGACCACGTTATGAAGGGCTACTAATACCACTAAATATTTCTTATTCATTAAATAATTTTTAAAGATACCCATGATGCTAATAAAAAATGAGTGTTTTAAGAAAGATAAAGGAAATTAGTCAGTCTGTTGCCAGATAGGTTTTAAATCAACATCACAATATATTGGTTTATGGTAATAACAAACTTATAGGTTTGTTATTACTATAGTTTTTTATTACCATGCTTTAAACAAAATACCCCCTAAAACTTTTAGTAAAACACTATCATGGAAAAATGATTCACTGTTTATTATAGTCACTCATTATTATTTACAAACGCATAAATAAAATGTTATAAAAAATACAGAATAACTCATGATTTCATGGATCCCTGAAAAATTCCCAGGAATCATTATTTCTCATTCTGGAATCTCAAAGATTCCTATTTGTTGGGAGTTTGAAACCATTAGTTGGGATGATGCCCTAAATAAGGGTCACCAGGCAAAAAATGCACAGCAGAGAATTTAGACAAGTTTCCAAAAGTAATTACTTGGCCTTTGCCAACTGTATAGTGCTTTAAGGTTATAAAGTGCTTTACAGGCAGCATTTAGTTTGAGTTCACAGAAACTGTGAGGTCTGTCTATAGGTTTTCTCTACATTTTATACAAGAGGAAACATGTTCCAAGTTAAATAACACGTTCATGCTTCCAGAACTAATAAATGTGAGAGGGCAGATTTAAACCCTCAGACATCCAAAGTACTTTATCTGATAAATCACAATGCCTCTGTATTACATCAAATTTAATCTCCTGAGCCTCAGTTTCAATGCCCTCCTCCTACTACGAAAACCTTACTAGGACTCCCAGTCATTTTTCTTCAGCTAAAGCTAGTCTTGATGGGTTTCCGCAGTCCACTTCCTCCGCCTCAGATGCCTCTCACATACCTACCCAACCCAGCTCAAAATCCTCCATGCAGGCTTTTCCGGTAGATTTCGACAATGTTAGCTGGTGTCTTCAGAACTCACGGGAACTACCAAGACATCTTTGCCTACATTCATCTGTGGTCTTCCTATAGTTACTATATTTGAGGAACCTTATTCATTGACTGAGCCAGCAGGGACTATGTCTATTTCCACGGTATCCCCCCTCACTAGAGAGCTCTGCACAAGTTGGGGAGACTGCATGGGCTCACTGCAGTCAGATGAATCTCCACACCAACTGATGAACTCTCAGATTAAGAGAGGCTCCATTTATTATTGTGTCAGTAGAAAACTACATCAAAGAAACAACCCCACCGAGTTCCTCAACTACAATAGGATGAAATTGGGACCATAATAGGATCTTCATTCAGGGTGTCCAGCTTCACCCACTCATGTTTGAGAAAGGTAGGGGAATGATTTCCATCCCCATCATACTGACTGTTTATTCCTTACTTAAGTTTATTCAGGGTTGTCTCTCAGTCTTTCAGGGCCTAACTTTCTAGGCTTTTACAAAGAGTGAAAATATTTTACCAACAGAGAGGTGATAAGGTCATGAGCCCCATGAGAACACCAGCATCCTTACTTCTTAGTTTTACCTTATTTTTGAACAAAGACAGCTTGGTCCAGTTTGGTCATTCAAATTATTGGCCAGACTTTACTCAGAACAACTGGAGGGATGCTATGCGCACAGGGTACCAAGCAACTGCTTGCTCCACACAGAAGTACAACCAATGGTTTGAAGTTATTGGGATGTGATTCTAGTTCAATCTAAGAATGTGGCAGAGGAGCTGTACTAGATAACATTTTAAGTCCCTTCCCACTGTGGCACTGACTCTGAGTCTGTACTTGATAATCACACCTTGTATGTTACGGTTCTGCCTCAACCCCAGTCAAGGTCCATCAGTCCAAACAGCAGGGCCCTGTAGTGCTGTTTCTTGGTGTGCACCTTAATGTGGGCTGTGAGCTTAGACTGCTTGGGGAATGCCTTATCGCACTCACTGCAGCAGAATGACCTGGCCTTGATGTGTCTTCGCTGGTGGACTCTCATGTCTGCTTTCATGCGAAAATTTTTGCCACATTCTGGGCACTGGAAGGGCCTCTCCCCCGTGTGCAATCTGATGTGCTCATTGAGATAACAATGTTTGGTGAAGCTCTTACCACATTCACTGCAGGAGAATGGCTTATCCCCCCTGTGCTGGCGCTGATGGGCCTTCATGTCGGCTTTCAGCCTGAAGCACTCCTCGCACTCTGGGCACTGGAAGGGCCTCTCCCCTGTGTGCAGGCGCTGGTGCCGGAGAAGATGCCCCTTTTGGCGGAAGCTCCTGTCACACTTGGGGCACTGGAAGGGCCTCTCCCCAGTGTGCAGAAGCTGGTGCCGAAGTAATTCATATTTTCCAGCAAAGTTCTTGTCACACTGTGTGCACCAGAAGTGTTTCTCTCGTCTGTGAATCCTGAAGTGTTTGGTTAATTGAGCCTTGTGAGTGAAGCTCTTGCTGCACTCACTGCAGCGGAATGGTGAGGGCTCATACCAGCTCTGGTTCTCAGAGTCACGTCCACAGCTTTCCTGACGTCTTGAATTTGAAGATTCAGAGTCTCCTGGAATTAAAAATAGATCCAGTCAGACCTTATGACTTGGGTAGGTGGTAACCCACGACTGCAATAATGGCATTCTAAGTTTTTCAGTGTGTTCCACATGCTTTATCTTATTTGATCTCCATGACAATCCTGGGAAATAGATGTCCCCACTTTAAAGATGGGGATACTGAAGCTCAGAGAGGTTAAATTGCTTGCTCACAGTCATGAAGCTAATAAGTGTTTGTGGCAGGATTTGAACCCAGATCTTTCTTGCACTCAGGCCAGTGCTCATTTCTTTACATGATGATAGCTGTTATCATCATCAGGGATCATGTCTTATTTACCTTTGTAGTCTGCTCAGTGTAGAGCCCAGCACTGCCAGGAGGCTGTATGGGAAGGAACCCTGGATCTGGAATCAGACAATCTGGTTTTGGGCCCTAGCTCTGACATTTACCAGCTGTGTGACTCCTCTGAGCCTCATGTGCAAAACTGGGATAATAATCCTTGCATCTGGGCCAAATGGCACACTGCACACAAAATCCTAAACGGTATTACATAAATGTAAACCATTAATTAATATCTGTTGAACTGAATTCACCTTCCTTCTCCCAGTTAGACAGAGACTCCTGCAATGAAAATCCAGTTCCTGTCCTGTGTTTTGCTTCCAGAAAGGCAATCACTCCTCCCCTGAATTCACTTTTTAATGTGATGGAATATAATTAGATTGTTGGGACTAGATTGAAACTGAAGATGCAAACTTCAGAATGACAGGTAACAAATACTAAGGCCTTGTACATCATGGCACGTGACATTAAAACCCCCCTGAATGGAGCCAGTCAGGTGTGGAGGGGAAATGCTTTGGGAGAACTTCGAACATCTTTTTCCAATCTGTGGAATGACTCACAGAGGTCTTTGAGAGAGACTCAGGATCATCATCACTCTCTGAATTTCAGCATCATATTCAAGAAAGTTTCCAGGAAGATGCAATGCTGGAGAAATGATAAATCTCCAGGAGGTAGAAGTGGAAACTTATAAAATGAGCACAGGGGAATTCCTCAGAAACTTTGATTTTCCTGCAATCTCTGATGGGCAAACAGGCTTAGTCAATGTTTATGATAATAAAAAAATAATAAAATGCTATGTTATCATTTTAAAGTTTTTATTCACTTTCCTTACAATTAATCTGTGTTAACTAATATGTAAATGACATCTTATGGTTACAAAACACTTTAAATACATTATCTTATTTGACCTTTACAATAACCCTGTGAAGTAATGAATATAAAGTGCTTTGCATGTAATGCAAATGTTTTCATCCTCATTTTACAAGTGAGTAAACAAACTCAGAGAGAGCTGAATTACTTAAAGTCACACAACTTGTAGGTGACAATGATAATAGTAATAATAGCTAACAGTTCTATGGCATCTACCATATTCCAGGCACTGTGCTAAGGGCTTTACAAATATCTCTTTTGATCTTCACAACAATCCTAGGAGGTGGGTAACTATTATTATTCCCATTTTATGGATGAAGAAACTGAAATAAATAGAGGTTAAATTACTTGCTCAGGGTCACACAGCTAATAAGTGTCTGGGGCAGAATTTGAACCCAGGTCTTCCTGACTCTAGGCTCAGTGATCTATCTACTGTGCCACCTAGCTGCCTAAGTGGTTTTGTTGCCTCTCTAAACCTCATGGGAAGAGAAACACCAGGAGGGGGACCACTTAGCCACATTCTCCCTGACCTCTCATATTCAGTAGAACTACCTCTAAGAAAGGAAGTCAGATAAGGGCTCAATCTCGCCTCCCATGAGACATATAATCTTGACCATATTTTAGGATTTCTAGACTATTTTATTGCAGGTGGGGTTTTTTTGTGTGTGTTTGTGAGGCAATTGGGGTTAAGTGACTTGCCCAGGGTCACACAGCTAGTTGAGTATCATGTGTCTGAGGTTGAATTTGAACTCAAGTCCTCCTGACTCCAGGGCTGGTTCTCTATCCACTGTGCCACCTAGCTGTCCCTCAGGTGTCTTTTATTTCAGTAAAAGAGACGGAAGGAATCTCATTAAGTTTTTCTCCTCCCCAAGCCATAGAGATAAGCAGGAACCCCTTAAACCTTCCTTTTCCTTATCCTGGGACAAAACTTCAGACCTTAACATTGATAGCATCCCTGGCTTATTACTCATTGGAAATCAATAGCCAAAAATGAAACATCTCCCCTCATGATCCTGCACATGGGACTTCCTGACTCACGAAAGGTTTTGTCTTTTTTAAAATTCAGAACTTCAGGAATCCTGATCATGCAGAAAAAATAGAGGAGAACTCATCTCTGTGTTTAAGTTAAGTCCCCCACATGACAGTGAAGTTTGTTTTGGGTACTGAGCCCTGAAGAGTTAGTCTTTTTACCACTCTTTTGGAGCCCATCTTGTCCAGACACCAAACTCCAGCTCAGTTCAGCATTAAAGGAAGATTTGAGTTTTCCAGCTAAGAAAACCTGAACATACTTTTCTGGTTTCATTGTTCTCATCTTTTCTCACTCACCACAAAGCAGCTGTGTCTCGGTATGCTTCAAGTCAAGATGTTCATCAGTTCTGGGGCCAATTGCCAGATCTTTTGTCCCTAAGTTTCCTTGACCTCTGATGAATGGCTCTTCCCCCTGTTCAATCCAGGTGATCAGGTCTGGCTTGGGAAAGGCACAGCCTACACAGAGGTCACAAAGAAGGAATTAAGTTTATTTTTAAAAAATTTCTATTAGATGCACAAATTATAGCATCACATATGCAAAAATACATGGGCCCTTGAGTGCTATAAAGCAGAATACAACTGTTCACACTCCAAGAGAGTTAGGCTTAACATATTTGGTTCTAAGCTACCCATGATTTGTTTCATATCTCCCCATTTCCTATCCTCAAAATATCACTACATGATTTATAATCACTTAATAAAAGCAAATAAAATTATTTTTCTCTTGAGAATTCCTTGAGAACCATTTGAGTGGACTGAAGATATTCTGGGCTATCAAGAAATAAGGCATAAACCACAGGGTTTTGAAAGCAACTGACTTTAGAAGAAACATTTCCTATAGCTTTCTTGGGAACAGTTTCTATTACTACCCACAGCAAATGGATGGACCATGTCCTTAGGAGAGCTGAATGATTTAAATGAAGACACTTAAAAACTAAGCTTTTGTGTTGAAAATGTGAACTCTCATATCTTCATACTTAACTTAGACACAGACTTTTCTAACCTGTTTAAAAATCTTCTAAACAAAGAGTTTCAGTGGACTTTGAACCCACTTTTAAAAAAATCCAACACTGATTAGTTTGCAAGAACAAATGGTTGCTGTGATGAGATGGACCAGTGCATCATATTTGCATGGCACCATAACATTTGTAAAACATTTTCCTTAAGGCAGGTAATAATAAGTATTGTTATTCTCATTTGAAAGAGGAGGAAATTGAGGCTCACAGAGATGAAGTCATTGCCCATTTCAAACAGCTGGGTGAGCACTGGAGGTAGCATTAGAACCTAGGTCTCCTTGTTCCATTACCTCTTCCCCTTATACAGTGCTCTGTCCAAAGTTACCAGTGACCTTTTACCTGCCAAATTTGGTGGCCCCTTCTCAGGTATCATCCTCTTTGATCTCTCTGTGGCATTTGACACTACTGATCATCCTTTGCTTCCTTCCTTTCCCCTTTCGGTTTCTTGACACTGCTCTCCCCTTATTCTATGTGTACGATGGCTGTTCCTTCTCAGTCTTCTATGCTGGATCATTATTCTGTGGCTTCTGTGAGTGCCTACCGCATAGTTCTGTCCTGGGCCTTCTTTTCTTCTTACACCAGTGGTCTCCAAACTTTTTTGATTCTGCACCCCTCTTAGTCCTATAATACCAACTGCCTTTTGGACATCTCCTTCTGGATGTCCTGTAAGTATCTCAAAGTCACCATGTCTAAACCAAAAATTCATTTTCTTTCCCCCCCTCAAGACTTTCAGTCACTCAGGTTTACAAAACCGGAGTCATCCTTGTCTTTTCTCCTTCCCTCATCCATTATACCCAATACCTTGCCAAGGCCTGTTGATTATAGCCCTACAATATATTATGTATCTCCACTCATACTGCCATTACCCTAATTCAGATCTTCATTGACTCTTACAAGATGGCAATAGCCACCCTGATCTGTTTCCTAGCCTGTCTTTCCCCTCTTTAATCTATCTTCTCCGTGGCTACCCTAAAGCACAGACATGTCTGACCATGCTACTCCCCAGCTCAGGAACTCTTGTGACTCTCTCTTGCCCATACAATCAAATACAAACTCCTCTGGCTTTTCAAGCCCTTTACCATCTGTCCCCAGCCTACCTTTTTAGGGTCATCAGACACTATTTTCTTTTACTCAGTCTAAATTCTAGATCAAGAAGACAGCTTGCTATTGCTTGTACATTACCTTGCATCTCCTGTCTGTATGCTGCTCCCTTCCTTATCTCCACCTCCTAGGATTCCTATGGCCTTCAAAGAGAAGCTCTAGTATGATCATCACCTATAAGAAGCCTCTTTTGATATCACCTAAATGCTAATGCCTTCACTTTGGAAATTATTTTGTATACACTTTTCCATGTACATGTTGTTTCCCCCGATAGAAGGCAGGTTTCTTGAGATTAGGCAGCTTTTAGTTTTTGTCACTGTATGCCTAGCATCTACTACAGAGTACCCAGCACATAGTGGGCACTTATAACCATCAGCTGAATAAAAAGGACCTTCAAATAATCTCTACGTAGGTGGTAAGGTCCAAGTCACAGGTGAAAAAGATCTGGCTTAGGCTTCAAATGCTGGATGGTGCTGAATATGAGATGGGGAATCTGCAGAAGTTGTGGTGATTCAGTTTTCCATCTCAACCTACTCAAACCTAGTTTTTATCCAAATAACTCTGCAAAAACAGCTTCCATGAAGGTCGCTAATAAACATTACACTGTTAAATCTACCAGCAATTACTCACTTCACATCCTCTTTATTAGGTAACTTTCATTTAAACCTTTGTTTTGAAAATATCTTGACTACAATTCTCTGTGAAGCCTTTACAACCTCATTCCAGACCTCAGTGATTTCTTCTTCCTCCGAACTTTTATAGCATGTTTGGCAATTAATCACACATTGCCTCCTGACATATTAGATTGCTATACTGAACTTAAAAAAAAAGATCTCTTGTATCACTATTTATAATTCCATATTTTAAGTCCTGTTTATCTTTTAGATCTCAACAAAGAACAAGCTCCTTGAGGGCAAACAGGCATGGTTTCTTATGCATCTATTTAGTCTTCCCAGAACTTTAAGTAACTTTCACAGAGCAGGCACAGAAAGAAAAATTTCTAATCGATGGATTGATGAGATAATGACACTCTCTGGCATAGAGGCAGGTAGGAAGAGTCTCTGGAATTCTTGTTGGGTTTGTTCAGAAAAGATTTTTTCATGACCTATTATGCAAAACCAGTCTTGGCAAGATAGTGGAATCAAAATTGTAAAAAGAAAACCACATGACATACAGCAGGCAGGAAAATTTGAGGTATCATTCATTGTTAGCAGGTATTTATTAGATACCTGGGAGACTGAAATGAAGCAGATGATAGTGAGGTAACTGAGAATAACACTTGCTATTTCAATCCTGGGGGAGACTACCATCAGCTAGGCTGAGGCCCACAGGCACTAGTGACAAATATAGAAAAGATTATTAGCTGTATAGGACATTTCATAGACCTGATGTAGCAGTGTCAGGCTAGACTAACATGAAAGTCTGAGTACATAAAGCGAATAAACCCCTCAATTTCTAGGTGATTCATCTCAACTAAATAATTATGGCTGCTATCATGTTACTGTTTCATTTTTATTTTCACATTCCTGGCACCTAGCACATAGTAGGTGCTTAGTAAATGAACTGAACTGAATAATATTGTCTTCTATCCACTCATTAAGGTCCGAGCACCCTTATAAAAGGTAATCTTGTGGGGAGCATCAATCAGAACTGAGTTTCTGAGAACTCCTGTCAGTGGTGGATCTAAGTTCTAGATGACCACCTGAAGTTCCTTCTTCTGGCTTATATTAAGAGATACTCACAAAGCTTCTCATAAAAGCATTTTTTGAATTAAACTTATTATCAAAATTCCATTCATCCACTTATTAAAGTCCAAACCAGTAAAAAGAAAACCTGTATCACACATATGCCAAAATATTTGTAGCAGCACTTTTTGTTGCAGCAAAAAACTGGAAAAAATAGGTGTACATCAATTAGAGAATAGCTGATAAACCATCACACATGAAAGTAATGGAATATACCACCTGGAATGAAAAATATGATGAATTCAGAGAAATGCGGAAAATAAAGCAGAATGAAGTATAACTAGGAGAATAACACACATGATCACAATAACACAAATGAAAACACCACCAAAATACAACCAAACTCAGATAGATGTAACAAAGAAATACATTTTCCCCTTCTCTGCAGAGAGATGGGAAATATAGGAGCAGAATGTAAATACACTGTAAACAATTACTTTTTGGTTGTTTTGCTTAATAGTTCTATTTGTAAAAAGAAATCGTTCAATAGGGGTGGGGTGGATTCTGTCAAGTAACTAACTTAAAAAACAAAAGGCATCAATAAAACTTTTTCTAAAAAGTGATGTGAATGATATGAAAAGAATAATTTGGAGCTGGGTTTCAGGAAACCTGTTTCAGGCTGTGGATGGAAGCTCTGGGTGAGGCCTGTTCCACTATCTGATTCTATATTTCCCCCCAAATCCCCTATAACAATATCTTACCCAATGAGACCAAGGTTTCATAATTGGTCTTCACCACATGCTTGTAAAGCTCCTTCTGCCACTCCTCCAGGCTCCTCCACTCCTGCTCCGTGAAATACATGGTCACATCATCAAAAGTCACAGGCACCTGGAAACAAGCATGAGAAACACGGACTCACCTGACCCGTTTTAAATTTTATTTTACCCATTTAAACGACCCCATTCCAGACTCCATTTCTTTTTTTTCATTCCTTTCACACATGGCATATGCTGTAAACGGATTCCCACCAGGCATATTTTAAAGACTTTCACTGAGGCCAACAAGGAGCACCCTGGGCGCTGGCTCGTGTTCCCAGGCAGTAAGTGAAGCTTCTCCTCCCAAGTGCGTGGCAGCACTAGCGGAGGCCTGACGAGGCACAGGCACATCCGTGAAGCGCTCTGCAAACCCGAAGAAGGAGCTGTACAGATGCCAGTTCTGACAGGAGGAGGGAGGCTCCGGGGGAGTCACCTGACCCGCACCAGACGCTCCCCAGCTCCATCCCTGCCCTCCCTTCGGCCCGGGCTGCAGGGCCTCTACCCCTGGGATACGGGGGCGACCTCTAGCCTCTCTCCCTTACCCCAAAGGGATGGGCTCCCACTCCCTCTCCCCCCTCCCCCCCCGCCTCCCGCGGGCCGCGGCACTTTGCTGGGGAGGCCTGGGTTCAAATGCCGCGTCAGCTCGGTGCTGTTGGTGGGGAGACTCTGTCTCTCTGGGCCTCAGTTTCTCTCTCTGTAAAACGAGAGGGTGGGGCCTCGATGGCTTCTCCCAGGTCCCTCCCCGGTCTGGATCTGAACCCTCTGGGCCAGGCCCGGAGCTGAACGTCCCGCAGGCCGCGGACCCTCCCCGAGAGCTCCGCCTCCCTCGCGCCGGGCCTCGGCAGCCCGGCCCCGGCCGCTCTTACCGGAGCAGGCGCCCCCGCGGCCATGGCCTGTATACCTCCCTTGGCCCCAGGTCCGTCTGTCTCGGGCAGAGCGCGGGCCTCCGGCTCAGTCAGGCCGCGCGCCATCCGGGTCACGCCCCCCTTCCTCCCTGCAGGGAGGGGCCTCCCCTTCCCCGGCTCTGCTCCCTCACAGCGCCCCCGTGCGGGCTGGCGGGGGAACTCCCCCGAGCCGCGAGCCCACCTCTTCTCTCCCCTGTGCCTCGTCTCTCCCAGCTCTCTTCCGAGCCTGTGCTTGCCATGTAAGAATGCAATGTCCCCGTTGTACAGACGAGGACGCTGAGGCCCAGAGAGGAGAAGGATCCCACAGAGAGAAGTATGATACAAGCCTCCAGCCTTGCAGGTCAAGGCTTCGTTCTAATGCCCTGATGCCGGCACCTGGGATAGATGCTACAGAGGCTTTGGGGGTCTCTGGGGCCTGTACACTCAGCGGGGTGTTAATAAATGTTTCACAACTGGCTCCCCTGAAGAAAAAAATTGTATGCGCAATACACTCTTAAGTTCAGTCTGCATTAGTAAGAGTTTCTCCGTCACTTTCTTAAGTCTAGACATTCGACAAAGCAATACACCAACCTCTGTTTGGGAGCCTTTATCTATTGCTGAGATGTAAATGATCACTGACAATTTTAATAATCATCTGAGCAGCAGGAGCTTGCTGTAGCACAGTACTGGTCCTGTATAAAAACATCAATGAGTCACACGGTTGCAGATTCTTAGGAAAAACAGGATCACTCCTCCAGAGTCCCAGTATCTCTGTGGCCCATCTCAAAACGAATGCCTCGGGGATAACAGGACAGGAAGCATCCTCATGCTGGCCCCAGCCCAGCCACCAGTGTTTTTTTATTTCACCATCAAGCTCCACAGGGACATGCATCCTAAGGCCTCATTGGAATAGTTATTCATCGCTTTTCTCAATCTGTATCTCACTCCAGCAAGGGAGTGATATGGCTCTGGGCTGATAGCCATTCCCTGTACACATAGATGATGGAACTCAGGCCCCTTGCAATGCTGGCATCCTATGTACTGAGGTCTCTTTCCACTCTGACAATCTATGTCCCATGTTCCCATCCTTTCCAGCTGTGTTTTGATCCCCATTGCACAAAGAAATCTAATTGTATGGAGTGCCATACTTGTATCTGGGAAGACCTCTGTTCAAATCTTGCTGGATGGGCAGTTCTTTGTGTGACTTGTTATGTTACTCAAGGGAAATCACTTAACTTTTCAGAGCTTGTTTCTACCTTATAAATGTAACCTGTCTCATGAAGCCCATTGGTATGGGGACTCTCTTATCATTGGTGGAGATCAATGCCCTTCATCTAGAGGGTTGGGGGTAGAGTTGGCGAGAGCAGGAGAGAAGAGAGTTTCATTCCTCTTTGAGCACAAGGGTCTCTTTCTTTTTTTAAAATTTTAGAATTTAATTTAATTTTATTTTTGTTTTTGCTAGGCAATGAGGTTAAGTGACTTGCCCAGGGTCACACAGCTAGTAAGTGTTATGTGTCTGAGGCCAGATTTGAACTCAGGTACTCCTGAATCCAGGGCCGGTGCTCTATCCACTGTGCCACCTAGCTGCCCCTACAAGGGTCTCTTTCTGGCACTTCAGGCTTCCAGATTGGAAAAGAGAAGATGGAAGATACTAAGCCCACTTCGGATTACCAAAGGGAGAATTAGACTCTGGGAAGAAGTTGACATGAGAGGAGCTGATTGTTTCCATCATGTCTCCATTCCCTGCTTCCTACACTAGAGACTTTGGGGAACCTCTCCTTGAGTGAGTTCTAGGACTGTCTCCTGGTTGAGTTGAGTTATCTTTCTCCCCATTGGGTGGGGTGGAGGGCTATTTCACTCTGTATTATCCTGTATATATTCTATGCTTACTTTCTTCGATTTCTGTTTGATATCAAATTGGATAAATGAGTTTCTTTGCTACTTCCTCTGTGTGTTCGTTGTGGAATTGGTATTTGATGGGAAAGGGATCAAGCCTTGGCTGTAAAGCTTGGGGTCCTGCTTCCCCCTAATTAACAAAACAGTGATAAAAAGTTAGATTAAATCTAAAACTTGCATCCTCTAGATTGCTAATATTTAGCTTTTTTTTTGTTTGTTTTTGGGGGCAGCAATTGGGGTTAAGCCCAGGGTCACACAGCTGGCAAGTGTCTGAGGTGGAGTTTGAACTCAAGTCCTCCTGACTCCTGCTCTATCCATTGTACCACCTAGCTGCCCCCTAGATCAGTAATATTTAGGGGTGCAGATAGATATAACTCTAGCCCAGTAGCCTTTCTGTCTGAGGAGAGCAAAGTGGCTAAGCTTCTGGCCCCAACCTCCTGTTGGAGGCTGTCCTGGCAGGAATTAAAGCCTCCCTTGGAGAAGAAAGGGGGAAGAGAAGAGGCTAGAGATGTCTCTTCTGCTTTCCTTAGAGCCACACGATAGCCTCATGCTACATATGGGGGATAGCCCTCACCATATAAATTTGGTATAAGAATACCTCACAGAACTGTTGAAAGACTTGAATGAGGTAATGAAGGTAGGTACCTGGCAAACTTAAAAAAACTGTAGAAATGTCAGCTATTATTATGATTATTACTTTGTGTAACATAGCCTGTCACTACTAATTCCAGAATAGGAGGAAAGGGCAGAAGTGGAGGAAAGAAGACAACTCAATAGTAATGGAGAAAAATATGACAGTCCAGCCACAAACATTCCCTCTCTTCTCCAACTTCCTTTTACCTGCTTTGTCTCTGGATTCTGTGTAGTAAGGGTAAGGGCTAAGGGATGAGCAGATTATTATTGCACAGCTGGAAATCTTTTCCTATAGGGTTCCTTTTTGTTTTTTTTTTCCATTCAATTATTTATTTCAGGCAAATTTATAATTTTGATTTTTTTTTCAGCTTGAATTATTCAAATAATTACAAGTACTCTCCACCCAGCTTTTCCTTTAGGACCCTGGGCATAATTTGTAAAACAAAGTAAGAACTAAACTGTACAGGTGACAGGAATTGCCATCTTTATTTTTCTTTTGTTTGGAGAGTAGGGATGCAGATTTAATTTGGATAAAAGTATTAGTACATTAGTACATGGTCTTCCTTTCCTACAATAATGCATTCCTCCATACTTCTCTGTAATGCCCCTGCCCTAGATATCTTCTCCACTCTCACCCCTTTCAGTTTCTTTTTGTGTGTTTTCTTCATCATTAGAATGTAAACTCCTTGAAGGCAGGCACTGCATTTTTTTTTTGTTTCAGGGTTCCTTGTTTAATATATGCATACATATATGTATGTATATGTATATATAGCCTTAACAGTGACCAAAAGTTTCCTCTTTGAACATTTCAGATACAAAATAGAAAAGGAAAAAAAAGGATTGTACTTGAACCTGAATTTCTGTTACATATATCTTGCTTTTCCTTGGAAGTACATACAAAGTTCAACATGTAACTTTCATAGCTGACCTGCTTGTCTATGTTTCCTTCTGGCCTACCTTCTATTTTCTTCTAAGCATTTAAAATATTCTTGAACAATCCTCTCTCTTTTCTTTCTTTTTTGGCAACTCTATGACAACCCTCTCTTACCCCCACGGGGAAAAAAAGAAAAACAAACAAACAAAAAAATGAGTTCCTTTTTAAATGGCATGAGATTATCCATCCAACCATCTAAGAATGTAATGAGTTCCTCACTAGGCACCCAAACTCATTAGAAGGGGAGAGAGAATGACAACTAGGAGATCAGTTTGGAGACTTCTTTAATTAGGTTACAAACTCATTAAGAGCAGAAACTGTGTTGTTTCATCTCTGTACATCCCCTAGTACTTATCATTTATTTGATTGAATTGAAATTTCATTAATTTAACTGTGAGCTGATGACTCTTGGTTTTCAAAGACTACATCAGTAGGGAGTAAGCAAGCTCTGGAGGGTCCTACCATATTGGAAAAGTTTTGAGTATACACCTGATAATGAACAGTGTCTTTGCTTCCTAAGTACCAGCTAAATTTTGAGAGGCTTACCCTGTTTGCTACTTGTTGATCATTTTTTTGGACATGGCAACTTTCTGAGATCATCCACTAAGAGAAACATGAGAAGATTTATATGAAATGTTCTAATCTGATCCAATCCGATCCAACAACCATTTATTTTCCACATATTTTTAGAGGTAGTGTGGTACAGCAGATAGAGAGATGGCTTCAGAATCAGGAAGACCTGAGTGCAAGTCCTGCCTGTCACACAGACTGGCTTATCCTCTCAGTGTCCCAAACAATTCTAAGAGTAAAAGGTGTAGAGTAGGTGCCCACCTACACTGCTTGAAGGAATTTCCTCACTGGGAATTCTGAGATCGCTGAGCTAGATTCTAAGGATATGAAGACAAACATGAAATGACCCTTCTCCTTGAGGAGCTTACATTCTATACAGGTTCAGATCTGTTACTACTCATGAGACTTTGGGATGTTGTTTCGCCTCAATGGGCCTCAGTTTCCTCATTTGAAAAAAAGGGATTGGATCAGATGATCTCTTATTTTCTTTCAGTTTCAAATTGATAATCCTATGACTAAATTGCTTCTAAGTCCTGTGGCGCTGTAAGCCTATGATCCTACATACAAATTGAATAAAAACAGGATCATTTGAGAAAGGATGGAGATCACGAAAGATGATTTCCTTTACATAGGAAGTGATGATTGAATTTGAAAGGAGGCCCTAGGGGTTTTGAGAAGTAGAGGTGAGGAGGAAGGGACAGCTTGGGCAAAGCCATGAAGATGGCAGATGGAATATTGAATATAGAGAACAAAAAATCAGCTTTGAATCCCAAGCTGAAGAGTCCATTTTTATCCTTAAAGCAATAGGGAACCACCACAAGTAAAGGGAACCACAGGAAATCTGAACCCACTCTGGGGGAGCCAGGTGACTCAGATGGACATTTGCCTGAACCTTCTTCTCTATGTCCTGCTCAGCCTGGCCAATAATGGAAGGAAAAAAGGAAGACCAACAGCAAAATAGACACAATGACTATAAGAATATAGATTTAAAACCCTCCAAAACTACAATGGACTCTGTAAATTACAATGAACAATATTAGTTTTAGATAACAGAAGATGAACACACATTCCTCC